TTACTCTTATGGCCGGACTAGTGAATTCCATTACTCTTATGGCCGGACTAGTGAATTCCATTACTCTTATGGCCGGACTAGTGAATTCCATTTAAGAATCCATCAACTTGGGTACACAGAACTTCACTGAACATTCACTAGTGGATAGACTGGGTACACAGAACTTCACTGAACATCCACTAGCGGAAAGACTGGGTACACAGAACTTCACTGAACATCCACTAGTGGATAGACTGGGGTACACATAACTTCACTGAACATCCACTAGCGGATAGACTGGGTTACACAGAACTTCACTAAACATCCACTAGTGAATAGACTGGGGTACACAGAACATCCCTGAACATCCACTAGTGGATAGACTGGGGGACACAGAACTTCACTGAACAACCACTAATAAATAGACTGGGGTACACAGAACTTCACTAAACATCCACTAGTGGATAGACTGGGGGACACAGAACTTCACTGAACAACCACTAATAAATAGACTGGGGTACACAGAACTTCACTGAACATCCACTAGTGAATAGACTGGGGTACACAGAACATCACTGAACATCCACTAGTGGATAGACTGGGGTACACATAACTTAACTAAACATCCACTAGTGGATAGACTGGGGTACACATACCTTCACTGAACATCCACTAGCGGATAGACTGGGGTACACAGAACTTCACTAAACATCCACTAGTGGATAGACTGGGGTACACATAACTTCACTGAACCTCCACTAGTGGATAGACTGGGGTACACAGAACTTCACCGAACATCCACTAGTGGATAGACTGGGGTACACAGAACGTCACTGAACATCCACTAGTGGCTAGACTGGGGCACACAGAACTTCACTGAACATCCACTAGTGGATAGACTAGGGTACACAGAACTTCACTGAACATCCACTAGTAAATAGACTGGGGTACACAGAACTTCACTGAACATCCGCTAGTGGATAGACTGGGGGATACAGAACTTCACTGAACATCCGCTAGTGGATAGACTGGGGTATACAGATCTTCTCTGAACATCCGCTAGTGGATAGACTGGGGTACACAGAACTTCACTAAACATCCACTAGTGGACGTTGGATATCATTTTGCCTGGTTTGTTTTTTGACAGTCCCTTCTCGTCAGTGAAATTGGCCCAGCCTCATCTTATATCGTTCTCCTTTAGTATTTAGCATATTTTAATTAATTAAAACACCTTGGTGAGCTATTAGGGCATCTAGGCTACATGTTTTATTTTGTAGGAAATGAGCAGGAACATTCCACAAATTCGGCAAGCGGATTTCGATGCTCCAAAATACAACTTACAGGGACGCAAGCTTTGTGTTCTGTTGATTCACGATGAGAGACAAAGGACACATCAATTGGGTAAAGATGATGAGGACATGGAAGAAAAGTCACAAAGTAGGATCAACAATGACTTGAGTCAACTTGAAAGTACATTGCGTGAGAAATTTGGTGATGATGTCATAAAAGAGAAAATTCCCATAAATGATGAACTGACGACCCAAACATTCAAGAAGCGATTGGAAACATTTGGTAAGTCTTGCTTAAATACCACCTATAAATATCATACCTGTCTATAAATACCAACCCTATTTATCATACCTGTCTATAATAACCACTCTGTATATCATACCTGTCTATAAATACCACTCTATATATCATACCTGTCAATAAATTCCACTTTATATGTCCAACCTGTCTATAAATACCACTCTATATATCATACCTGTCTATAAATTCCACTCTTTATGTCCAACCTGTCTATAAATACCACTCTATATATCATACCTGTCTATAAATTCCACTTTATATGTCCAACCTGTCCATCAATACCACTCTATAAATCATATCTGTCTATAAATTCCACTCTATATGTCCAACCTGTCTATAAATACCACTCTATATATCATACCTGTCTATAAATACCACTCTATTTATCATACCTGTCTATAATAACCACTCTATATATATCATACCTGTCTATAAATACCACCTCTATATATCATACCTGTCTATAAATACCACTCTATATATCATACCTGTCTATGAATACCACTCTATATATCATACCTGTCTATAAATACCACTCTATATATGATACCTGTCTATAAAAATACCACTTTATATATCATACCTGTCTATAAATACCACTCTATATATCATACCTGTCTATAAATACCATTCTATATATCATACCTGTCTATAAATACCACTCTATATATCATACCTACCTATAAAAACCAGGCTATATATCATACCTGTCTATAAATAACACCTCTCTATATCATACCTGTCTATAAATACCACTCTATATATCATACCTGTCTATGAATACCACTCTATACATCATACCTGTCTATAAATACCACTCTATATATCATACCTGCCTATAAAAACCACACTATATATCATACCTGTATATAAATACCAATCTATAAATCATACCTGTCTATAAATACCACCTCTATATATCATACCTGTCTATAAATACCACTCTATATATCATACCTGCCTATAAAAACCACACTATATATCATACCTGTATATAAATACCACTCTATATATCATACCTGTCTATAAATACCACTTCTATATATCATACCTGTCTATAAATACCACTCTATATATCATACCTGTCTATAAATATCACCTCTATATATCATACCTGTCTAAAAATACCACTCTATATATCATACCTGTCTATAAATATCACCTCTATATATCATACCTGTCTATAAATACCACTTCTATATATCATACCTATCTATAAATACCACTCTATATATCATACCTGTCTATAAATATCACCTCTATATATCATACCTGTCTAAAAATACCACTCTATATATCATACCTGTCTATAAATATCACCTCTATATATCATACCTGTCTATAAATACCACTTCTATATATCATACCTATCTATAAATACCACACTATATATCATACAGATCTTCTCTGAACATCCGCTTATATCATACCTGTCTATAAATACCACTTTATATATCATACCTGTCTATAAATACCACTCTATATATCATACCTGTCTATAAATATCACTCTATATATCATACCTGTCTATAAATACCACTTTATATATCATACCTGTCTATAAATACCACTCTATATATCATACCTGTCAATAAATACACCTCTATATATCATACCTGTCTATAATAACCACTCTATATATCATACCTGTTTAAAAAGACCACCTGTGTATATTGTATACCTGTATGTAAAGGCCATCTCTGTAAATTGTATACCTTTCTGTTAAGGACATGTTATTATATATTATCAACCTTGTCATAAAGCTTATTACCTTAGTGTGATATGATATGTGGTTGACCATTACCTGTAGTGTGATATGTGTTGTTGACCATTACCTGTAGTGTGATATGATGTGTTGTTGACCATTACCTGTAGTGTGATATGATATGTGGTTGACCATTACTTGTAGTGTGATATGATATGTGGTTGACCATTACCTGTAGTGTGATATGATGTGTTGTTGACCATTACTTGTAGTGTGATATGATGTGTGGTTGACCATTACCTTTAGTGTGATATGATATGTTGTTGATCATTACCTGTAGTGTGATATGATGTGTGGTTGACCATTACCTGTAGTGTGATTTGATATGTGGTTGACCAATACCTGTAGTGTGATATGATTTGTGGTTGACCATTACCTGTAGTGTGATATGATGTGTGATTGACCATTAACTGTAGTGTGATATGATATTTGGTTGACCATTACCTGTAGTGTGATATGATATGTGGTTGACCATTACCTGTAGTGTGATATGATGTGTGGTTGACCATTACCTGTAGTGTGATATGATGTGTGGTTGACCATTACCTGTAGTGTGATATGATGTGTGGTTGACCATTACCTGTAGTGTGATATGATGTGTGGTTGACCATTACCTGTAGTGTGATATGATGTGTGGTTGACCATTACCTGTAGTGTGATATGATGTGTGGTTGACCATTACCTGTAGTGTGATATGATGTGTGGTTGACCATTACCTGTAGTGTGATATGATGTGTGGTTGACCATTACCTGTAGTGTGATATGATGTGTGGTTGACCATTACCTGTAGTGTGATATGATGTGTGGTTGACCATTACCTGTAGTGTGATATGATGTGTGGTTGACCATTACCTGTAGTGTGATATGATGTGTGGTTGACCATTACCTGTAGTGTGATATGATGTGTGGTTGACCATTACCTGTAGTGTGATATGATGTGTGGTTGACCATTACCTGTAGTGTGATATGATGTGTGGTTGACCATTACCTGTAGTGTGATATGATGTGTGGTTGACCATTACCTGTAGTGTGATATGATGTGTGGTTGACCATTACCTGTAGTGTGATATGATGTGTGGTTGACCATTACCTGTAGTGTGATATGATGTGTGGTTGACCATTACCTGTAGTGTGATATGATGTGTGGTTGACCATTACCTGTAGTGTGATATGATGTGTGGTTGACCATTACCTGTAGTGTGATATGATGTGTGGTTGACCATTACCTGTAGTGTGATATGATGTGTGGTTGACCATTACCTGTAGTGTGATATGATGTGTGGTTGACCATTACCTGTAGTGTGATATGATGTGTGGTTGACCATTACCTGTAGTGTGATATGATGTGTGGTTGACCATTACCTGTAGTGTGATATGATGTGTGGTTGACCATTACCTGTAGTGTGATATGATGTGTGGTTGACCATTACCTGTAGTGTGATATGATGTGTGGTTGACCATTACCTGTAGTGTGATATGATGTGTGGTTGACCATTACCTGTAGTGTGATATGATGTGTGGTTGACCATTACCTGTAGTGTGATATGATGTGTGGTTGACCATTACCTGTAGTGTGATATGATGTGTGGTTGACCATTACCTGTAGTGTGATATGATGTGTGGTTGACCATTACCTGTAGTGTGATATGATGTGTGGTTGACCATTACCTGTAGTGTGATATGATGTGTGGTTGACCATTACCTGTAGTGTGATATGATGTGTGGTTGACCATTACCTGTAGTGTGATATGATGTGTGGTTGACCATTACCTGTAGTGTGATATGATGTGTGGTTGACCATTACCTGTAGTGTGATATGATGTGTGGTTGACCATTACCTGTAGTGTGATATGATGTGTGGTTGACCATTACCTGTAGTGTGATATGATGTGTGGTTGACCATTACCTGTAGTGTGATATGATGTGTGGTTGACCATTACCTGTAGTGTGATATGATGTGTGGTTGACCATTACCTGTAGTGTGATATGATGTGTGGTTGACCATTACCTGTAGTGTGATATGATGTGTGGTTGACCATTACCTGTAGTGTGATATGATGTGTGGTTGACCATTACCTGTAGTGTGATATGATGTGTGGTTGACCATTACCTGTAGTGTGATATGATGTGTGGTTGACCATTACCTGTAGTGTGATATGATGTGTGGTTGACCATTACCTGTAGTGTGATATGATGTGTGGTTGACCATTACCTGTAGTGTGATATGATGTGTGGTTGACCATTACCTGTAGTGTGATATGATGTGTGGTTGACCATTACCTGTAGTGTGATATGATGTGTGGTTGACCATTACCTGTAGTGTGATATGATGTGTGGTTGACCATTACCTGTAGTGTGATATGATGTGTGGTTGACCATTACCTGTAGTGTGATATGATGTGTGGTTGACCATTACCTGTAGTGTGATATGATGTGTGGTTGACCATTACCTGTAGTGTGATATGATGTGTGGTTGACCATTACCTGTAGTGTGATATGATGTGTGGTTGACCATTACCTGTAGTGTGATATGATGTGTGGTTGACCATTACCTGTAGTGTGATATGATGTGTGGTTGACCATTACCTGTAGTGTGATATGATATGTGGTTGACCATTACCTGTAGTGTGATATAATCTGTTGTTGACCATTACCTGTAGTGTGATATGATGTGTGGTTGACCATTACCTGTAGTGTGATATGATGTGTGGTTAACCATTACCTGTAGTGTGATATGATATGTGGTTGTCCATTACCTGTAGCGTGATATGATGTGTTGTTGACCATTACCTGAAGTGTGATATGATGTGTGGTTGACCATTACTTGTAGTGTGATATGATATGTGGTTGACCATTACCTGTAGCGTGATATGATGTGTTGTTGACCATTACCTGAAGTGTGATATGATGTTTGGTTGACCATTACTTGCAGTGTGATATGATATGTGGTTGACCATTACCTGTAGCGTGATATGATGTGTTGTTTACCATTACCTGAAGTGTGATATGATGTTTGGTTGACCATTACCTGTAGTGTGATATGATATGTGATTGACCATTACCTGTAGCGTGATATGATGTGTTGTTGACCATTACCTGAAGTGTGATATGATGTTTGGTTGACCATTACTTGTAGTGTGATATGATATGTGGTTGACCATTACCTGTAGTGTGATATGATATGTGGTTGACCGTTACCTGTAGTGTGATATGATGTGTGGTTGACCATTACCTGTAGTGTGATATGATATGTGGTTGACCGTTACCTGTAGTGTGATATGATGTGTGGTTGACCATTACCTGTAGTGTGATATGATGTGTGGTTGATGATAGGTTTCTATGTCATGACGATATAACAGAAGAGAAAGGCTTGGAGTCAAAATTATATTTCACTTTTTGACAACTTGATAAAAAATGTTGTTCTTGTGATAGGAGGTAGCACATGTTGTTCATTTAGAGATATTTGTTTATTTTCAGCTGATCAACGTATTCCGTCAGATGTAGGAGCATTCCTGTGTGTGTTTCTTGGATTTGGCGGATCAGAATATGTTTATCTTGGGCGTGGTGAAATTGGAAAAATTCAAAAAATGGATTTTGCTGAAGTTGTTCAACAATTTAATGGCGAAAATTGCAAAGCTTTGGTTGCGAAACCAAAAATGTTCTTTGTTCAGGTGAGTTTTGTTTATTTTTATATCACAATGATGTATAGTGTGTTATAATATCTATATGTAACAGGAAAGGGAAAACAACGTGGTTTGGTTAAATTCCTTCCTCCTCCAGCAAAGTGTTTGACACCAAAGACTCTATACACTGTACCATCGTCAGCGGGTATATTTGGTTGGGTGTACCACCGTCAGCGGGTATATTTGGTTGGGTGTCAAATGTACCGGAAGGAAAAATTGCAAAAGCCAGATTGAGATTTGAACCCAGAACCTCAGAACTGTAGCTAGAGGCTCTAACAAATTAACTCATATGGCAGAATATACCTGTATTGTCACTTGTGTATTCTGCCTTACTGGTGAAATATAAATAGTATTCAACTGGAAACAATAAAATATCCTATGTGTATTTATTTATTGTTAATTCATATTGTATACATTTAAGGATTGAATTCTGTTTTCTTGAGGTTTATGGGGTGTAAACCTCAATGGGACTTGAGGCAAATTTCATGAACTGTGTTTAAAAATTTCGAAATATTAAACCCCTGTGACCTTGAATATTGGCGAAGGTCATTCATTAGAACAAACTTGGTAGCCCTTCATTCCTGCATGCTTCTGCCCAAATAGCATCATCCTGTTCCTTTTGGTTATTCAGAAGAAGTCGTTTAAATGTTTTGAAGACAATTGACCCCGTGACCTTGAATATAAAAGAAGGTAATTCATTTCAACAAACTTGGTAGCCCTTTAATTCAACATCCTTCTGGCCAAATATCATCACCCTGGACCTTTTGGTTACACAAAAGAAGTCATTTCAAGGTTTTTAAGACAATTGACCCCTGTGACCTTGAATATTGGTGAAGGTCATTGATTTGAACAAACTTGGTAGACCTTCATCCCAGAATGCTACAGGCCCAATTTCAGTACCCTGGGCCTTTTGGTTATTGAGAAGAAGTTGTTTACATATTTTAAGACATTTGACCCCTGTGACCTTGAAAGTTTGTCAAGGTCATTCATTTGAACAACCCTGGTAGTCCTTCATCCCAGCATGCTACAGGCCCAATTTCAGTACCCTGGGCCTTTTGGTTATTGAGAAGAAGTTGTTTACATATTTTAAGACATTTGACCCCTTTGACCTTGAAAGTGGGTCAAGGTCGTTCATTTGAACAACCCAGGTAGTCCTTCATCCCAGCATGGTACAGGCCCAATATCAGTACCCTGGGCCTTTTGGTTATTGAGAAGAAGTTGTTTACATATTTTAAGACATTTGACACCTGTGACCTTGAAAGTGGGTCAAGGTCAATCATTTGAACAAACTTGGTAGCTCTTCATCAATGTATGCTACTGGCCAAATATCATCAGCCTAGGACTCTTGGTTATTCAGAAGAAGTTGTTTAAAGTAAAAAGTTGACGCCGGACGGACGCAGGACGCCGCGCCATGCCAGCTAAAACCCCACCAAATCTTGGCCAAACTTCTGCAATATGATTGGCAATTTATTTTCTTTTGGCTTGTGGGGTTGAAAATTTGGTTTGGCTATAAAATGATAATTTAGGGAACGCTACCAGGTAAATTGACTAAAAATATCTTTAATATTTTTTATTTTTTTTATTATAGGCGGAAACAATCCATCCTGCAAAGCCACCTGATGGAGCCTTTAGTGGAACAGTATCGAAAGGGGACCTGGTCAAGATTCCTATTCATGCGGACATTTTTGTGTACTTTTCCTCAGCACTTGCAGGTAGAGGGACATAAAATTGTAGAGAATTTCCTGAATCAAGTTTTTTTTTTTGTCAGAAACATTGAATGTTTTCATGATAAATTCTACTCAGTACTCAGGATGTGATTCAAATTTGATGTGCAATCTGTTTATAACACAGAGGTAGATCATTAAATAATTTACAATTGCTGAGTACATAGAGATGAGTACACCTATAGTCCAAGGATTGTCTCAGGTGTGGCCAGTAGCAGCTAGACTCTGGGGGACTGAGGGTTGGGGCCAAAAGGGATAATTGTCAATAATTCTTTAAATAATTAACTTCTTCTCTAAAACTGAGGGAAGTGTATCAACCAGATTTGGTTGGAAGCATCGCAAGGTGGTGAGGATTTAGAATTGTACAAATGGAGGTGCAGACTCTGTGGGGGGCTGAGGGGTGGGGTCAAAAAGGGTAACTTGTACATGTTGATAGAAGTGACTTCTTTGGAACGAAATGATTGATACCAATCAAATCTAGTTTTAAGCATTCTCAGGTGATTGGGATTTAAAATGGTATCGGGTGAAGGGCCGACCTCAGGGCTGAGGGTCTGGGCCAAGAGTTGGTAATGATTTTGATTCTCACCCTTTATACAATTGCTGAGTATAAAGAGATGAATACATATATAGTTCGAGGAAAGCCTCGTGATGTGGCCCCATCCAACATCAAAATGGAAAAAAATCCCACCCCATTACCATATGCACAATTGCTGGGCATATATAGGGATGAACATAATCATGATATTAGAATGACTCTTGGGTCTGGCCACACCCCTAGGGACTTAGTTTCTGGGTCATCACTTGGAAAATGTTTAGATCCCCACCCCAATTTGGAAACTATTCAGATCCCCACCCCATAACCATACATACAATTGCTGGGTATAAAGAGATAGACACAGTCATGATAATGGAATTTACCTGATGGTCTAGCCACAACCAAGGAGACTTTTCCCAGGTGTCATAGCTCGGAAACAGTTGAGATCCCCTTCCTGTAACTGTATAATCCATTGCTGGGCATAAGAAGACAAACACAATCATGTTACAAGAGTTTTTACTCTTGGTTCTCCTGTCCAATGGGACCTATTTCCCGAGTCTTAACATGGAAACCTTTGAGATCCCCACCCTATAAAAATACAATAGCTGAGCATGAAGATTTGGATACACCAATGCTACCAGGGTTTGCTCAAGGGACTGGCCCTATCCCTTGGATGTTATTTGCTACACTGTTTTTAATGAGAATATTGCCATAACAGTTAAATATCCAGGTGAGCAATACAGGCCCTCTGGGCTTCTTACAAGTCCCCCACTGGGAACCTAGGGGGTATTAGTTTTGTTGCATCGTGTCCATCCGTCCTTCCTTCCGCTTTCTTGTCCGGGCTCTATCTCCTACACTACCAGTCACTGGAACTTCATACTTGGTGTATGGGTTCACCTTGTTGAGGCGATGTGTCGTGTTTTAAAAATAGGTCAGTCTGACCTACATTTTGACCTTTGACCTGCATCTAAGAAAAAGTTTGTCCAGGCTCTATCTCCTACACTTTTAGTGACTGGAACGTCATACTTGGAGTAAGGGTTCATCTTGGTGAGGCGGTGTGTCGTATATCAAAGTAGGTCACACTGTTTTTGACCTGCATCAAAGAAAAAGTTTGTCCGGGCTCTATCTCTTACACTACTAGTTACTGGAACTTCTATTTACACTTCTAGTTACTGGAACTTCTATTCACATTTATACCACCAAATGCAATCAAATAATGAAACGCTGTAGAATGCATAGTGTCACCAGATGCAATTTAATAGTAAAACGATACCACTAGCCAGTAAACATCCACCAGATTTATTTGCAATAGTAGCACTGACACTATTCCTTATTGAATACGGTGGGTCTGTCAAACATTCATATATCAAATTAGTTCCTGCACAAATTTATCATCTGTGCATTTCACATTCGGTGGTGGACTATAATTCGCTGAATTGTCTTGTCTTAATATGACTGTTTGTGGGTATGTTCTTTTGTGGTTTGAAGTTATCAATCAGATTTGTTACTTTCATTTTCATGGTTCCATTTTAATCATGCAAATAGTTACTGGCTTGTACATATAGTTTTTACAGGTAAAATATAACTGACAGTAGAACATGATATTAACAGGAATCAATTTATCTCATGATATTAACAGGAATCCATATATCACATGATATTGACAGGGATTCATAAATCACATGATATTGTCAGGAATCCATATGTCACATGATATTAACAGGAATCCATATATCACATGATATAAACAGGAATCTATATATCACATGATATTAACAGGAATCCATATATCACATGATATTGACAGGAATTCATTTATCACATGATATTAACAGGAATCCATATATCACATGATATTAACAGGAATCTATATATCACATGAAATTAACAGGAATCCACATATCACATGATATTAACAGGAATCCATATATCACATGTTATTGACAGGAATTCATAAATCACATGATATTGTCAGGAATCCATATGTCACATGATATTAACAGGAATCCAGATATCACATGATATAAACAGGAATCTATATATCACATGATATTAACAGGAATCCAGATATCACATGTTATTAACAGGAATCTATATATCACATGATATTGACAGGAATTCGTATATCACATGATATTAACAGGAATCTATATATCATATTATTAAGAGGAATCCATGTCACATGATATTAAACAAACTCCAAATATATACATTATGTAAACAAAAAGTGGACTGGTGTTTTTTATCTTTATTTCATAACCAAATTGTGGCAATAATAACAAGAAATGGAATCCATTGAAGTGATAATTTGACTTCACTTTGTTGTTGCAGGAAAATTATGGAATGAGGTTCCGTTGTCTGATGGAGTTGGAGACAAGGAAAAGGTGATGTCCAGGTTTGTGCATGTGTTGTGTAGTGAGATCGCGAAGTTAACCCAAGATGTTGATATTCAGAAGATGGTTATTAGAATTAACCATCAAATTCACACTGCAAAATTTCCAGAGGACAAAAGGCCGCCCGATGTTTTGCCACTAGCAACAAGCCAATTAACAAAAATCCTCGTTTTGGCAGATATCACCGGAACCAAATGAAGAACATAGGAAGTGGTCCCTCTAGTCTTAGAGGAGTACAAACTTGATTTAGGTATCAAAGACATAAACAACATGTGGAGAGAACTTGACCCTCATAATACATTTACTCCAAAGAGAGGCTGAGGCCACACCAACACAATTTATTCCAAAGAGAAGCAGAGACCACACAAACACAATCTATTCTAAAGAGAGGCTGAGGCCACACAAATACAATTTATTGCAAAGAGAGACAGAGGCCAGACCAACACATTTTATTCCAAAGAGAGGCTGAGGCCCCACCAACATATTTTATTCCAAAGAGAGGCTGAGGCCACACCAACACAATCTATTCCAATGAGAGGCTGAGGCCACACAAACACAATTTATTGCAAAGACAGGCTGAGGCCACACCAACAAATTTTTTTCCAAAGAGAGGCTGAGGCCACACAAATACAATTTATTGCAAAGAGAGACAGAGGCCAGACCAACACATTTTATTCCAAAGAGAGGCTGAGGCCCCACCAACATATTTTATTCCAAAGAGAGGCTGAGGCCACACCAACACAAGCTATTCCAGTGAGAGGCTGAGGCCACACAAACACAATTTATTGCAAAGAGAGGCTGAGGCCACACCAACACAATTTGTCCCAAAGAGAGGCTGAGGCCACACAAATACAATTTATTGGAAAGAGAGGCTGAGGCCACACAAACACAGTTTATTCTTAAGAGGGGCTGCAACCACATCAGAACAACTTATTCCAAAGAGAGGCTGGGACCACATCAGCACAATTTATTCCAAAGAGAGGCTGCGACCACATCAACACAATTTATTCCAAAGAGAGGTGAACGTTTCACTTCAGGTTATTTTAAAGGACAGCTGATGTCACCACAATGTATTTTCATTCCATGTAAAGGCAGGCACTATAGTGGAGCAATTACTCAAATAGAAAATCTCCATTTTTGTCACAATATTTCTTTCATTTTAACATTGTATGGTTAACACTCAGGATCCCATCCCTGTACAGACATGTATGGTTAACACTCAGGATTCCATCCCTGTACAGACATTTATGGTTAACACTCAGGATCCCATCCCTGTACAGACATGTATGGTTAACACTCAGGATTCCATCCCTGTACAGACATGCATGGTTAACACTCAGGATCCCATCCCTGTACAGACATGTATGGTTAACACTTAGGATTCCATCCCTGTACAGACATGTATGGTTAACACTCAGGATTCCATCCCTGTACAGACATTCATTCATGTTTCGGACAGAAGCTAATCGTCATCAGATGTTTAATGCCTTTATATATATATATTTTTTTTTTCTTTCTAAAACTATCATTATTCTTAACCTGTCTACCCTTTAAAGGTGTTGGATTTTTTTTTTTTTTTTTTTTTTTACTTAAGACATGTTTTTAATATTTTCATTATAAAAATGGATGTAAATAAGGTTTGCTGGGGTTTTCTAACATGAAGTCTGTTTCTACCTACCATGGTAAATAATTAAATAACCAGATCACATAGATCTATCATACAGTATTAGTAGCAGTCTCTAAGAAGAAGCCATTGAAATTCAAATTCTCCATACACAAAACATTACCCTATTTCCATAATGGTGGTCCATTGGCAATCTCTTTAAAAACATTCTGAATTCCACACTTTACTGTCTTTTGTAATTGTACATATGTGTAAAAATATTGAGACAACTCGGTATAATGTGACTATGCCCTAAATGTCCTCAAAATACTTTTAGATGAAGAAATCAATTTTCTAACAGAAGTACATTATTATTATGTATAAGGTATTTTATTGTTGCGGCTCAAGTTCATTTCATCTAAACTGTTGAAGTTGAAGCCTGAAGTACAAATAACACAAGTTTTTGTTTCTGCGCAAAACATAGTTAGGTAATTAAAGGGAAACAAAAAGTTGTGTTTCCCTCCCTCAAAAACAATACATAATATACATGTATAATGGATACAAAGGAAAATATGACAGGATATACTCAAATGTGGGAGGGTGACATGATGTTTTATTGCCCTGTCATGTGATTAAGATAGTCCAATCAGATACTCTGTTATATAGATCATAGATGAGGCATAATAAAATATACGTTTTGAATACAATACTTATTATATGTATATATATATATATACACACATTACACTGCTGGATTTTTTTTACCAGTGAAATGAATAAAAGTAAGAATGTTTTGATTTTTACTTACTCAAAGCTTATTTAATCATTATACAATAATCGTTGAAAATATTTTTTTATGATTACATTATTTTATTTTTGACAATATTGTGGAAGCAAAGTAATTTTGAAAACAATTTTTACTTGTCTATATTTGTAAATTTTACAGAGATTTTTAAAATATTTCAATATAGGTCGTGAGTCATTGGCTCTATTTCTGGATGTTATCTGGTGATGAATGTCATGAAAAAAATTATATGATTATGATGTAATAATTTTGAAAATATTTTCAATTTGTAAATTGATTCTTATATGTTTATATTTGTAAATTTTATAAGGCTTTGTTTTGTCCTAATCAACACCTGTATTGGAAGTAGTCTCCAGTGAGAAAGTTCAGGGAAGCATGACAGTTGGTCTAACAATCAAACGATTGTACCATGGATGGCCGGGTGGTGCAGTGGATAGCGACTTGCCTTTCACCAAGGTGACCGGGGTTGGATTCCCCGATCAGATGTGAAAAGGTATGGGGGGGTCACATGCCTGGCCACATGGGTTTTCTCGGGGTACTCCAGTTTCCTCCCATAATAAGACCCCCCCCTGTAACATGGTGTAATCACACTGGGGACACACCTTCTGCCGAGGTAGAGCTGCGGGTGTAGACCCTATTGCTAACGTGCCCGCTGACTGGTTAGAGGGCAATACAATATGGTCACAGATGTGATTTTTACGTTTGGTTTCAATGAGAATGTTCCAATAATTATGTTGAACTACTTTTAGCTTGTGCCTTAGATCAATTTTAGGGAGATGTAGTGGTTGAATAGTTCATCAAGCTCGTAATATGGGATTCGTCAGACTTGATAGAGCAGTATAATATTAAACGCACCTTTATCAACAGAGGTGATTGTCCTGAGTGTGTGTGTTTACAAATACTCGTCACACGGGTGTAATATAGTTATAAGTAACACCAGCACGACAAGTATTTACTGTCCTGCAAACGCTTGATTCACAACAGTACACTGTGGCCTACACTCAGTATACACGGTGTAACGAATCAAGCCCGCCTTTGTGGCCTACACTCAGTATACACGGTGTAACGAATCAAGCTTGCCTTTGTGGCCTACACTCGGTATACACGGTGTATCGAATCAAGCCCGCCTTTGTGGCCTACATTCAGTATACACGGTGTAACGAATCAAGCCCGCCTTTGTGGCCTACATTCAGTATACACGGTGTAACGAATCAAGCCCGCCTTTGTGGCCTACACTCAGTATACACGGTGTAACGAATCAAGCTCGCCTTTGTGGCCTACACTCATTATACACGGTGTAATGAATCAAGCTCGCCTTTGTGGCCTACACTCAGTATACACAGTGTAACGAATCAAGCTCGCCTTTGTGGCCTACACTCATTATACACGGTGTATCGAATCAAGCTCGTCTTTGTGGCCTACACTCAGTATACACGGTGTATCAATCAAGCTCGCCTTTGTGGCCTACACTCAGTATACACGGTGTATAGAATCAAGCTTGCCTTTGTGGCCTGCACTCAGTATAAACGGTGTATCGAATCAAGCTCGCCTTTGTGGCCTACACTCAGTATACACGGTGTATCGAATCAAGCCCGCCTTTGCAGCCAATGCTTTGATGGAACTTGACTGAGCCATTCAAGGGCACCAGTTAGCTCAATATTGGTACAGCATCTGCCTAGAGTTTGAAGGGTTCTAAAATTACATCAATTTAGAAATTTTCTTAGAATTTGAATTGGAGGAGAGCTTTCTTATCTGCAATAAATATATGTTTATAGTTGCTCAAATTTTTATATTGTTGTATTTTTGGTGATTTTATAACTGATTTTTAGGTCACCTGAGACAAAGTCTCAAGTGACCTATTGCGATCGCCTTTTGTCCGTCGTCGTCCGTCGGTAAACAATTTACATTTTCGACTTCTTCTCCAAAACCACTGAACCAATTCCAATGAAATTTTGCAGGAACCTGCCATGGACGAAGGTCAACAAAAATTGTTGCCGGTTTAGTCCTAAACCCCCCAGGGCCCGAGGGGTGGGGCCAAAAAGGGTCAAATTGACTAAAATTTCAAAAATCTTCTTCTCAAGACCCAGATATGGTAGAATCAAATACTCTTCATAGATGGAAGGGTCTTAAGGTGCTTTACCAAAATTGTGAATTTCTTGACCCTGGGGAGGGGGTAAACTTTACTATAGTTTATATAGGGAAATCACATTTTGGACCAACATTTGTTTAATTTCCATTAGAAATAATTCAATTTAGGTTCGCATTATCAGTATTAGGAAGCAGTTTGATAGTATGCACATATCAGCCCTGACTGCCCCCCGGGGCTGATGGGTGGGGCCAAAAAGGGTCAAATTGCCTGATATTTCAGAAATCTTCCGCTCAAGACCCACATATCAGCCCTGACTGCACTCTTCATAGATGGAAGGGTCTTAAGGTGCTTTACCAAAATTGTGAATTTCTTGACCCTGGGGTCTAACGTTATCCCCTGGAGAGGGGGTAAACTTTACTATAGTTTATATAGGGAAATCACATTTTGGACCAACATTTGTTTAATTTCCATTAGAAATAATTCAATTTAGGTTCGCATTATCAGTATTAGGTAGCAGTTTGATAGTATGCACATATCAGCCCTGACTGCCCCCCGGGGCTGATGGGTGGGGCCAAAAAGGGTTGAATTGACTGAAATTTCAAAAAAAATCTTCTCTGGCAAATGATACTTTGAATATTACATTTTGAGCCAGCCCTACCCCCAAGGGCTGTAGGGTGGGGCCCAAAGGAGTTTGTGTGCTAAAATTTCTTCATTTTCTTTGTTTAGAATCAGAGGTGCTAGTTTCAAATACTTTTTAGTCTTAAATCTGTATGCTAGATATTGAATAAGGTGGTTCTATTGTTTTTTGTCACTTTGAATAATATTTCTGTTCATGTTAAAAACAAAAGCAACTCTCTGTATAAATATATCAGGTGACCGTAAAGGCCCATGGGCCTCTTGTTTAATTACCCTGTACTGACGATCAGCCATTGTCTTATTAAACTGCTTAAATGTTCAATTAATTCTTCTCAGAATTAATGTTGTGTTGAATAATCTTTTTCCCGAAAATTTCCAATGATGTTATTCTATTAAAGTATGTTTCTTCTGTTAAACATATTTCGATACAGTAAAACCTTGATATAATGCCAAACACATCGATACAGTAAAACCTTGATATAATACCAAACTTATAGATATAGTGAAACCTTTATATAATGCCAAACTTATCGCTACAGTAAAACCTTGATACAATGCCCCTCTTTTCATATTAGCAACCTCACTGAATGCAGCTAACACATTTCAAGGTCCTTTTTTTCTCTCTTTTCTTAAGTGTTTTACATGTTTCCCTAAATTTACTGCCAAACCCCTTTATAATGCCATACTTTCCCTGTACAATATGTGTCAATATAATGAGGTTTTACTGTATTTCACTTTCACTCTGAACAATGTGCTCTGTACATTGGGGATATGGACCTAGCTGATCAGCTGGTAGACAAAAGTTTAAAAGGGCCATAACTCCAGGAAAAATAGTCCAAAACCAAATTCCTTTTTTCATGCACATTTACATATGATGCATTTTCAGTGTAAAGTTACAAAAAAACATCAACATACAGTTTAGAAGGAGTTGCACTTAAAAAGGATCCTGGACCCCACAACATTTTGCAAGGGGTGTAAAAACAGTAGGGCCGCTGTGGCCGAGTGGTTAAGGCATCTGATATTCTGTTACCACTAGCCCTCCACCACTGGGTCGCGATGGCCGAGTGGTTAAGGCGTCTGACATTCTACTACCACTAGCCCTCCACCACTGGGTCACAGGTTCGAGACCTACATGGGGCAGTCGCTAGGTACTAGCCAGGTGGGTGTTTTTTTCTCCAGCTTTCCTCAACCACCAAAACCTGGCAAATGACCATAGCTATTAATAGGATGTAAAATAACAAGAGGCCCAGGGGGCCTTAATAGCTCACCTGGTATCTTATTTTCAATTTAAAACCTGCTGAGTACCATACAGGTTTATCAAAGGAGTACAAGAAACAAAGTTGCAAGAAGAACTACATGTAAATCTGTTTTGGTATACAGAAGGGAAAATATTTTTCTCTTCTATTTCCCCTATTGGGCCCCGCTCCTCTGCCACTGGGGAGGGGCACATCCTCCATTTATACATATTAAATTCCCTTTGCCCATAGATGCTCTAGTTAAAACCCCTTCATCAGTACAGAAGGAGAAGGATCTTTAATGTTTTCCTCTATTTCCCCTAATGGGCCCCAGCCATCTGCCACAAAGAAGGGGGCCGACACAGTTTATACAAAATTGATTCTTTTGTCCCTAAGCATGCTTCAGACTTCATTTGGTTTATATCCCTTCACTTGTATAGTAGGAGAAAAAAAATCCTCTTTTTCCCCTATTGGGCCCCACCCATCTGCCCCCAGAGGGGCTACATCCTCTGTTTATACAAACTTGAGGCTCAGACCTTTGTCCAAAGATGCTCTAGAACAAATTTGGTCAAAATCATTCTGTTGGTTGAGAAGAAGATTTTTAAAGATTTACCTATTTCCCCCCTATTGGTTTGTTTGTTTATGTTTAACGGCCCATCGACGGCTGTGGTCATTTAGGGCCCCCTATTGGTCCCGCCCCTTTGCCCCCAGAGGGGCCACACCCTCCGTTTATACAAAACTGAGAACCCTTTGGCCAATGATGCTCCAGACAAAAATTTGGTTAAAATCCTCCGAGCTGTTAAGGACTAGAAGCGTTTTAAAGGAAAAAGTTGGCAGACGATGGACGATGGACACCGGACGCCATGTAATTTATTTATTTATTTCCAATTCAACAGACCCAAGGGTTCACTTACAGAATGGATTATTTTGGTATACGTTTATTTGCAACACGAAATAATTTGGGCAGACAGTCTGTGGATTTATTTCAATGATATTCACCAACATTGGAAATAGGTTTTGACATTAAGGCACGGTCTCCGGCTTAGGATAAAAGAAACACCAGAATGATCTCACACACAGCATCCATGCCTGACACTAGCAATAGTGCTAGACATAAAGGAGAGTTCAGTTTGTGTTCATGAAAACAAAACACGTCAGCAAAAACAATATCCTTCTTTATTGAGGTCTACTTGTTTCAAAATGTACAAATGTATACTCCATAATTTCATCCTCGATCTCAATCTCACAGTCTTTGACACTTTGATCAGAATCATCATGTTTCATTAACTACAAACATACTAAAATATACACGGCCTCCAAGCTACTCCATCATACCATAAACGGTCATAACACGCTCAGAGACAAACAGTTCAGTCATCATGGGTGCATAAAGAATTACAGCATGATCAGCCTTTCAAATAGATATCACTCAAACAAGCATTATATATATTATATAACGGACACAGAGTAATTCTCTAGTCCTTACCACAGAATCCCTGATGGAAACAAGTAATTCTCTAGTCCTTACCACAGAATCCCTGATGGAAACGAGTAATTCTCTAGTCCTTACCACAGAATCCCTGATGGAAACAAGTAATTCTCTAGGCCTTACCATAGAATCCCTGATGGAAACAAGTAATTCTCTAGGCCTTACCACAGAATCCCTGATGGACACAAGTAATTCTCTAGTCCTTACCACAAAATCCCTGATGGACACAGAGTAATTCCAGAGTCCTTACCACAGAATCCCTGATGGACACAGAGTAATTCTCTAGTCCTCACCACAGAATCCCTGATGGACACGAGGAATTCTCTAGTCCTCACCACAGAATCCCTGATGGACACGAGGAATTCTCTAGTCCTCACCACAGAATCCCTGATGGACACGAGAAATTCTCTAGTCCTCACCACAGAATCCCTGATGGACACGAGTAATTCTCTAGTCCTCACCACAGAATCCCTGATGGACACGAGTAATTCTCTAGTCCTCACCACAGAATCCCTGATGGACACGAGTAATTCTCTAGTCCTCACCTCAGGATCCCTGATGGACACAGAGTAATTCTCTAGTCCTCACCACAGAATCCCTGATGGACACGAGAAATTCTCTAGTCCTCACCACAGAATCCCTGATGGACACGAGAAATTCTCTAGTCCTCACCACAGAATCCCTGATGGACACGAGAAATTCTCTAGTCCTCACCTCAGAATCCCTGATGGACACAGAGTAATTCTCTAGTCCTCACCACAGAATCTCTGATGGACACAGAGTAATTCTCTAGTCCTCACCTCAGAATCCCTGATGGACACAGAGTAATTCTCTAGTCCTTACCACAGAATCTCTGATGGACACGAGTAATTCTCTAGTCCTTACAACGGAATCCATAATGGACACAAGAGTAAATTTAGTGACCGAAAAATGAGTTTACATCCTACTGTGAATTTAGTTTTTTTTTTTATTTATCTTTTTTTAAAGGATAGTGCATAATTGTTTGGAATTACTTAACAGGATTCGCATTCGCAAACAGAGGACTAAGAGATGTAGGCATTCCTTGTTATAATATTTTTGAATAGTTATTAACAATAATGGTTTCTAAAATTGTATATACTACAATTCATATGTGATTCAACACTCCATGATAAATTAACAGATTGAAATGAGATTCAGACACTGAGAATGAGGGAGAAACAGTTCTGATGGAGTGTTGGTCATTCATACTAGGTACATCTCTCACAGACGACGTGTTGTTTCACTGAGAATGAGGGAACAATTCTGATGGCTATTTGTGGTCATTCATACTAGGTACAACTCTCACAGACGATGTGTTGTTTCACTGAGAATGAGGGAACAATTCTGTAAACTGCTGTTAGCGGTCAACGATGTCATTCAGGTGTGATGGCTATATATACAGATGATTTGATGGACAATGGTCAATGATAGAATGAAACTGGTCACTACATTTCCGGACCCTCTCCACCAGGCACCAGCTGAAAAAAGAATCGAAAGAAATTATATTATATTTTTCAACAGCAAAATGCTAAGAAATGATACAAAACATGGACCTAGAAATATCAAATTTTTATTTTTTGCTTTCAGGGTAGATGAAGTAAAATTTCACTTCATAAGAGATTCATCCAAATTAACTCGGTAAAATACTCTGCCGTAAAAACAGGATTAATCAAGAATTTCAGTTGACACTTAACATTTATTAATTTCAGAAATTAAAAAAAAATATTTGCCATTTTATTTGGAGAGTCAACACACGCCCTTTCAAATCCAAGAGTAAAAGCTAATTTCGAGGAGCCAAAAATATACCCTGAATGGTCTTTTAAAAGACTAGTCCGAGTTTCCTCTGGCCCCGACACCAGACTTAGACATTTTGACAGATATAGATGTCTGGTGTGGGGCCAGAGCGCACTGCTATATGAAAACGTGGAATTCTCCGACACCGTTTGGTATCTAGAGAGTTTTGAGGTGCTGACAACAAAAATTTGCTATGACACAACACAAACCTCGAGCTCACATTTATCAATAAATCATTTAATGGGTTATTTACTTATCCAAATAATCACCAACAGTAGAGTCCTCGGTTTTCAATCGTTCAAATTTCCCACCTGTGCAAACGCCATTTTGTAAGTCATGGGAGTGACTAATATAATCAACAAAAGGAGGCGGTCTGGAAATCTTCTAAACAAGAATGATATTTTCTGTTTTCGGTCTGAATCAAAACGGTTTGTTGATAAGTCACTCCAACAAGAAATTTTGAGCAATTGAAAATTGAGGACTCTACTGATGGAATGTAGCAGATGTAGGTGATAATTTTAATAAGGGCAGGTTTGGATCAATAAATAACCCATTTATCGATAAATGTGAGGTAAACTCTGACGGTTAGACCTGATCGACTTACTAAGATAGATATAGGTAAGTGATTCTGGAAGACAGTCCCCTACTTACCATGGTGATATTATTACCGTTGAGTAATATCTGGTCTAGTTTGGTCACCCTCCGTCCCTCGGGGGTGCTCTCACTACAGAAACAAAAACAAGTTATATATGCAATAAAACCCTGTTCTCAATGTCCCTTGTTTCAAACTTTTCCACCTCAAATATTGTCAACATATTTCAAGGCAACCATCACTTTCTTTATCAATTCCTTTATGTATCTCAATATATTGTGGCAGATTTTAATTGTACAAAGAATGACAGTTGCCTTCTAGCTCATAAGCTCACTGGGAATCTACGGATCACAGGTTCAATCCCTGGTGGAAGCACACCATTCTCTTTCCTGTTACAATATTAACAAACCCCTTTGTATGCCAAAATTTTGCCGAGGAGTTGGTGACAATATAACCAGAAATTAAGTTTGTTTCCGTAAACTTTACCTTCTACAAAGATCTAGGCTTATTTGTTAGCTAGTAATTGGAACCTTTTTTTAGCACACTTCACGATAACTTAACTTCCTTCATTTCATACTTACAACTCTGTAACATCTTCCAGCACCATATCTTGGTCAGTCAAGGTACAAATAGTTAACAACTTTTGGAGGATGATAATTCAATTTTTTTTATCACTTGGCTATTGTAAATTTCACCTACTGATAGAGGGTGTAAACCGATAAAGCGTGTCTACACACCGTGTCCAGTGGGTTAACATTTTATTTTTTATTGTATTTTATACAACCCGACATATTCCAGTCCAACTCTATTGAGTCAAGCTGGTTATCACCATTCCTTCACAGTAGGGCTGCAACGATACACCTACCTCATGATAGGAGTTCAATGAAAAAAAATATTGATAATTTCAGTACCTAAGTGTATCGCGATACAGGCAAGCAAAAAATTCCAAAACGATACACAGAACAGTGTCACGATACAATATTGATACTATCAGTATATCGTAGCAGCCCTACTACAGAGAAGGAAGCTCTAGGCGACTCAGGGAAGGAAGCCGTTGGTGACATCTATACGGCTAGTTTAATACCCAACAGATTTGTTTTCACAAAGGATACTGACGTAATCATCAAATCCAAGAAGGATTCCGACGATCTCCTTGTCGTTCTTCATAATGATATGTATCCTTGAGCCAATACATTTGTCCACCAACTCTGAAAAAAAACAAAAACTTATCAAAATTCAGGAAACCTAAATAATAACCAGTCATTTTAATAGGACCATTGTGAAATGAAACCTTCAACTAATCTACAGGTCTGGGATACAGAAATATAGGACAGGTTATGGTTCAATCTAATCAGGGTTGTAAATAAAGTCAGTTGTAGCTGGCTCATTTGCCCGACATGTAGACTGGTTTCTTAGACAGTTTTTGCACACATTTACTCCATTTTACCCACAGAACTGACTGTAGTTTATTAACATTTGAACATTTGTTTTAAACAAGAGATAACAGAACTGACTGTAGTTTATTTACATTTGAACATTTGTGAAACAAGAGATAACAGAACTGACTGTAGTTTATTGACATATGAACATTTGTGAAACAAGACATAAAAGAACTGACTGTAGTTTATTAACATATGAACATTTGTGAAACAAAGATAAATTGACATGTTTATTAACATTTGAACATTTGTTTTAAACAAGAGATAACAGATCTGACTGTAGTTTATTAACATTTGAACATTTATTTTAAACAAGAGATAACAGAACTGACTGTAGTTTATTAACATATGAACATTTGTGAAACAAGAGATAACAGAACTGACTAGTTTATTAACATTTGAACATTTGTGAAACAAGAGATAACAGAACTGACTGTAGTTTATTAACATATGAACATTTGTGAAACAAGAGATAACAGAACTGACTGTAGTTTATTGACATTTGAACATTTGTTTTAAACAAGAGATAACAGAACTGACTGTAGTTTATTAACATTTGAACATTTGTGAAACAAGAGATAACAGATCTGACTGTAGTTTATTAACATTTGAACATTTGTGAAACAAGAGATAACAGAACTGACTGTAGTTTATTAACATTTGAACATTTGTGAAACAAGAGATAACAGAACTGACTGTAGTTTATTAACATTTGAACATTTGTGAAACAAGAGATAACAGAACTGACTGTAGTTTATCAACATATGAACATTTGTGAAACAAAGATAAATTGACATGTTTATTAACATTTGAACATTTGTTTTAAACAAGAGATAACAGATCTGACTGTAGTTTATTAACATTTGAACATTTATTTTAAACAAGAGATAACAGAACTGACTGTAGTTTATTAACATATGAACATTTGTGAAACAAGAGATAACAGAACTGACTAGTTTATTAACATTTGAACATTTGTGAAACAAGAGATAACAGAACTGACTGTAGTTTATCAACATATGAACATTTGTGAAACAAAGATAAATTGACAGGTTTATTAACATTTGAACATTTGTTTTAAACAAGAGATAACAGATCTGACTGTAGTTTATTAACATTTGAACATTTGTGAAACAACAGATAACAGAACTGACTGTAGTTTATTAACATTTGAACATTTGTGAAACAAGAGATAACAGAACTGACTGTAGTTTATATTATGATAGGGATATATAAAGGATTTATGTACTTAGGGAATGATTGTGAATACTGTTCAAAATGAGGGGAATTGTTTTGGCCTGAAAATCGTCTCCTGGCATCAGACCACACATCCTTTAAGTGTACTCTCTTACATTCTCTCCACCCCTGGAATATGTCATGACAAAATGAAAGCTCTGTGTGATGATACTAGAAGACAAGTTTGATCTTTCATCAGAAGAGTCTTGTAGCAGCATAATAATAAGACAGCTGACTGGCTTTGAATGTTTAAGAGGCACAGTAGTTTAGTGATAGGACGCCGGGCTCGTGACCAAAGGGTTGCGGGTCGAGTCAAGGCACGGCACTGTGTTGTATCCTTGAGCAGGATACTTTACTCCACTTGTTCCAGTTTACTTAGCTGAAATTGAGAACGTGGTTGGGCAGTGCTAGAATTGAAGAATGCTAGCTGTGAGTGACGAAATGGCAGTACCGGCTGTATGCTCCCCAGGTAGTTGAGAAATATAATAGCTGTTTGCTAAGGCCCTATAACCATGGATAAAAATTTGTGAACCGCTTTGAGATGACCTACGAACTATGTTGTGATAAAGCAGTATATATAAGAACCTCAAATTATTGTTATTATTTGTGTAGGTCCTCTGTTAACTTCAAAGGAAAGGTATTGATCAGCCAAGTGATTGGTAACGAGTAATTTAACCGAAACCAAACAAATAGCTAAGTGCATGTGTGCCTTTGTTTTTGCCATGGACATATTCCAGGGCTGCAGAGAATGTTATTGAGTGTAATCTCTGTGGACTGCATCTGCTGTCACAGGGTACGTGTCCGACCTCGGAGCATGACCTGAATGAGCAGGACTTTTGAATCTCTAAGGGCCTGGTAAGGGGAAACTTACCCCCTCACGTCGACAAACACCGACTTTGTCAGTGAAGTGTAGATGTAAAATCCATCAACCAACCAATTAACCATAAGTGGCACCAAAGTGGTGGCATACACTAGCCTTAGAGTTAGACCAACCTTAGAGTATGCTTTTCCAGTATGGGATCCACATCAGATCACAAACATATAAGGGATACTGAACAGATGCAGAGAATATCCAGTTGCACAATTTACAGTTTAACTGTTACCAAGACATCACCTCAGGCTGTGTAACACTTGTTTAACCAACCTCAGTGGGAATCGTTGCAATATCAACGATAGAAGTTAATCCGGCATTATACTAAACAGCAGGTGACAGTAGAAGAATGCAAGGGCTACAACATCTTAGACCATTCATTCTTCCCAAGATTGATCCATGAATTGATCAAATTACCAGAACAAGTAGTGGAGGAATCACTGGAAGACTTCAAGATCAGCTAGGTTGTCAGAGTACAATCTTCCCCTGTCCCCAGTCACACCGACTCTATATAGCAATTAACCCAGCGTTAATAGCTTTAAATTTTCAGATTAAAGTCTTCTGATTCGCCTAATTTTACTGAGTGCTAATTGAAAGCATATCACATCGTCTCGAGCTGTGCCAGGTCATTTACACTCAAGCTGAGTGTGATTCGTATCAGAAGGAAGGCGAATAATAAAATAAAGCATAATTATATATCTTAAAGTTTCAACCAATATGGAGGCAAAAGTTCAATTATAAAATGTTTGAAAACAAATTGTTTTCATTTAAAACGAGTAGATAAAAATCATGTCTGCTCCAGAAGATATAATTGGAAAAAAAATAACTAACAGTCACGTCTCACAATACCATTAAACACACAAATATTTGAAATAATGTACATTAAGGAGTGTCAAGAAAGACCGCAATAATGCCGAACCTAAGTTTTCCTTTACAGTTAGGTTAGGATTCTGATTCATTCACAAATTCACAGTGTATTACCGTACTTTCAATTTGACAATATGCCAGGTGACCTACTTACGCTTCTAATATCATATGTACTGATTAGTTTGCAGTTAAAAAATAACAGACAAATTCCTTGTAACAAACCTAGTGGTAACAGTTGTGATGGATTGGAAAACGTCGTTGTCATTTCTTTGGAAAGGTAAGCAAATTGTAGAACACAATTATCAACCCACGTGAAACGAATGCTGCAGAGGAGAATTATGTTCGGTGTTCGTAAGATTTATTCTCTCTCTGATAAGATAAATTAAAGATATTCCGAATGGAATTTACCTCATCTTCCGGTTACGGTTCAACACCGGAAGCTTGCGGAATGAGGCGGAAATTACCGAATCAATTCCGATTGATGGCCGACGATGGAGAAACACAAAGATGCTGATATATTTAACATGGATTTCTGCAAAATTTAAGGATTTAAAGAGATGAATCCTCAGGAGCAGCAATCCGATGCGGCAGCTGATCGAGACTTGGAATACTATTTCAGGCCAGGTAGTTGTTCAAGGGCTTGTGTATCTATTTTTGTGATAAATGGATGATCTTACGGGCGATTGGGAATACACACAAGATTTTGACAGCTTTCCCGGGTAGCGAAACAATTTACCGTTATTTCAGCCTGTAATGTACCAACTGAACCCAGTCATTGCCCATGCATTATTTTATGAGTGTATAATATAAATAGGCCAGGAAAATAATCGTTTATTCTTGTAAAATTGTTGGAAAATATGGTCAAGACGAGATGATGAACTGATGAAGATTAAGCCGAATCATGGATTCAGAGGCTGGAATTTTCATGTTTTCATTATTTTCCGGAAACTCGTATGAAAATATCCCCCCATTCATCAATTAATTTTAAGATAAATTAGCACAGAGTTTTCCTTGAATCTTAAACCCATATTTCGTGTATTTTTTCTGTATTTACATTGAGGAATTATATAATATATAATAAGTGCAACCAAATGGTGTACTATAAAACAGCTTACTTTTTTGGTAACAAGCTTTTCATCATGTTATTGATATTAAAAAACTGAGAGAATTGTTTGCATTAGATATGAAATGTCATAATCAGATTATGATTACCAATTTATCATAATAAACCGCAACCAATTTGTGTAGAACCCCCCCCCCTTTTTTTAAATATCTGGAATACAGGTACTGTACCCTCTATTGCTGTCTACCATCTATTATAATTTGCTGTTTATTTCATATCTAGTTCATAGCCTGAGCTTTCATTTTTAAAAGATATTTTGAAATGATCATAATATCAGTTGATATGTAAGTTAAAACAAATACCTGTGTTTTGTGTTTTCTAATGTGTACAACATGTTGTCATTGATGAAAGGGGGTAAAGTGATAGTCCGTACAGAAAAAAGAAAAAAAACGGTTACAGAAAAATATTGTGTGTGTCAAAGTGCTTGTAAACATTGTCTAAATCACTATTCGTGGAAGACTGTTGGTGTAGTATGTTCATATGTCAGGACATAAATGTTTCCTTGTTTCAAATCTCATCCTAAATAGTAGCTGCGTTAACGTTATTCACTGTAATTAACGCTCCACCCTATTCCTTTATTTTGGCGCTCGTTTAGATTATAGAAGTGTCCCGTTTCCGAAACATCCTTCATTCTGGCCCCCTCTCCGGTTAACAAAATACAGTACAAGTAAGCAAAGGTATTTGGCAAACCAATACAATTATTGGGCGAGGAGATCCAACGTCCTGTGGATAAGCAGATGGTCGATGTAAACTAAAATTTTCACGTTTGCAGAATCCTTGGTATTGATGCGCCATCACATACCTACTTGTATTAGAATAAAGTACAGTGTACTCACATGCTTTATATTAGATACTACTACAGCCTTGCAATCAGACAGGACTGTTTCCGATTGTTTTTGGGGAAAAAAGGGAAATAATTTTGAGACTCTTCCTTGGACAGTATCCAACAGTTATGTCACCTTTACAGTAACTGACATAGCCTATGTTCTGTGACATAATAAGTGCCCCCTCCCCTTCAGCCTATGGTCTGTGATCAAATAAGTGCCCCTCCCCTTCAGCCTATGGTCTGTGATATAATAAGTTTCCCCCCCTCATTCAGCCAATGGTCTGTGATATAATAAGTGTCCCCTCCCCTTCAGCCTATGCATGGTTAGTGATCAATTAAGTGACCCCTCCCCTTTAGCCTATGGTCTGTGATCAAATAAGTGCCCCTTCCCCTTTAGCCTATGGTCTGTGATCAAATAAGTGCCCCCTCCCCTTCAGCCTATGGTCTGTGATATAATAAGTGCCCCCTCCCCTTCAGCCTATGGTCTGTGATATAAAAAGTGCCCCCTCCCCTTCAGTCTATGTTCTGTGAACAAATAAGTGCCCCCTCCCCTTCAGCCTATGGTCTGTGATCAAATAAGTGCCCCCTCCCCTTCAGCCTTAGTCTGTGATAAAATAAGTGCCCCCTCCCCTTCAGCCTATGGTTTGTGATACAAAAAGTGCTCCCTGCCCTTCAGTCTATGTTCTGTGATCAAATAAGTGCCCCCTCCCCTTCAGCCTATGGTCTGTGATATAATAAGTGTCCCCTCCTCTTCAGCCTATGGTCTGTGATATAATAAGTGTCCCCTCCCCTTCAGCCTATGGTCTGTGATATGTCTGTGATATAATAAGTGCCCCCTCCCCTTCAGCCAATGTTCTGTGATATAATAAGTGTCCCCTCCTCTTCAGCCTATGGTCTGTGATATGATAATTATATATAAGTGCCCCCTCCCCTTCAGCCTATGGTCTGTAATATAATAAGTGCCCCCTCCCCTTCAGCTTATGGTCTGTGATCAAATAAGTGCCCCCCCCCCTTCAGCCTATGGTCTGTAATATAATAAGTGCCCCCTCCCCTTCAGCCTATGTTTTGTGATATGATAATTATGTATAAGTGACCCCTCGTGTTCAGCCTATATTCTGTGATATAAGTACCCCCTCCCCTTCAGCCTATGTTCTGTGATATAATAAGTGCCCCCCCCCCTTCAGCCAATGTTCTGTGATATAATAAGTGTCCCCTCCTCTTCAGCCTATGGTCTGTGATATGATAATTATATATAAGTGCCCCCTCCCCTTCTGTCTATGCTCTGTGATATAATAAGTGCCCCCTCCCCTTCAGCCAATGGTCTGTGATATAATAAGTGCCCCTCCCCTTCAGCCTATGGTCTGTGATCTAATAAGTGCCCCCTCCCCTTCAGCCTATGTTTTGTGATATGATAATTATGTATAAGTGACCCCTCGTGTTCAGCCTATATTCTGTGATATAAGTACCCCCTCCCCTTCAGCCTATGTTCTGTGATATAATAAGTGCCCCCTCCCCTTCAGCCAATGTTCTGTGATATAATAAGTGTCCCCTCCTCTTCAGTCTATGGTCTGTGATATGATAATTATATATAAGTGCCCCCTCCCCTTCAGCCTATGTTCTGTGATATAATAAGTGCCCCCTCCCCTTCAGCCAATGTTCTGTGATATAATAGGTGTCCCCTCCTCTTCAGTCTATGGTCTGTGATATGATAATTATATATAAGTGCCCCCTCCCCTTCAGCCTATGGTCTGTGATCAAATAAGTGTCCCCTCCCCTTCAGCCTATGGTCTGTGATCAAATAAGTGTCCCCTCCCCTTCAGCCTATGGTCTGTGATCAAATAAGTGTCCCCTCCCCTTCATCCTATGTTCTGTGATCTCATAGGTGCCCCCTCCCCTTCAGTCTACGTTCTGTGATATAATAAGTGCCCCCTCCCCTTCAGTCTATGTTCTGTGAAACAATAAGTGCCCCCCCCCCTTCAGCCTATGGCCTGTGATATGATAATTATATATAAGTGCCCCCTCCGCTTCAGCCTATGTTTTGTGATATGATAATTATATATAAGTGCCTCCTCCCCTTCAGCCTATGTTTTGTGATATGATAATTATATATAAGTGCCTCCTCCCCTTCACCCTATGTTTTGTGATATGATAATTATATATAAGTGCCTCCTCCCCTTCACCCTATGTTTTGTGATATGATAATTATATATAAGTGCCTCCTCCCCTTCAGCCTATGTTTTGTGATATGATAATTATATATAAGTGCCTCCTCCCCTTCAGCCTATGTTTTGTGATATGATAATTATATATAAGTGCCCCCTCCCCTTCTGTCTATGCTCTGTGATATAATAAGTGCCCCCTCCCCTTCAGCCTATGTTTTGTGATCTAATAAGTGACCCCTCGTGTTCAGTCTATATTCTGTGATATAAGTACCCCCTCCCCTTCAGCCTATGTTCTGTGATATAATAAGTGACCCCTCCCCTTCAGCCTATGGTCTGTTATATGATATTAGTGCCCCCTCCCCTTCATCCTATGTTCTGTGATATAATAAGTGCCCCCTCCCCTTGAGCCTATGGTCTGTTATATATAAGTGCCCCCTCCCCTTCAGCCTATGTTCTGTGATATAATAAGTGCCCCCTCCCCTTCAGCTTATGTTCTGTGATATAATAAGTAATTTATGTATAAGTGCCCCCTCCCATTTAGCCTATGTTCTGTGATATGATTATTATATATAAGTGCCCCCTCCCCTTCAGCTTATGTTCTGTGATATGATAAGTGCCCCCTCCCCTTCAAACAGTCGGGGAGACAATTACAGAAAATATGATATTAATATTCTGTCCCCAAAAATTTCATATTTATAATTAAGCTTTGAAAAATCTACTTTGTAGAGTACTTATACTTATATATATATATGCAGTCATAGAACTCTTCATTCGTTATATAATGGCTGACTTTAATTGGTCTGGAATATTGAAATTCTTATTTACTGTTCATATAGCTCTTAATTATAAGGATCCCTGTACCTGCAGGGTTTTTGCCAGGTGTTTATAGGGTCCGGTACCTAAAAGGACCCATTCCTAATTGAAAACAAAACTGAATTGTCCTAATTTCAGTCTTTATTTTCCCAATTGCACCAAAAAGCATGTTTATACAACAATGTGCAACATTCAATGTATTACTGTCCATGAATCGAAGGAGCATTCAAAATATATAAATAACGAAAATTTGAAATTGAATAAACAAAAAAAACACTGAAATTGATGTGTTTATTTGTTGCTATATGTACAGTACATGTTTTACTGTAAGAAACAGGTAGAGGAAAACTTTTTCCAAATCACATTTTAGGTTTTTCCTCCAAACTATGATATTTCCAAAAACATGAATGTGTGGGAACACCGATGATATTTTCCCAATTCCAGCTTAACAAAATTTCCCAAAATAGCTGGCAAACACCCTGAACCTGTAATAAAGTACTGGAAACAGTTTTTACAGGCTATAGCATTGTTACATCATTTCTGAAAGGAAAACCATGCGGGACATTTAGGAAAACATAACAAAGGTGCAATAATATAAACAAAATATAACCCACAACAGTGTTCTGAGTGTAAGATGTAAGTCAGCAGGGCTAGCGCTATAGTCGACTGAGGTTCGAACCCTGAGGTCGAGGTTCAGTTGGTGATACTATAGCACTTACCGATCACATGATTGATCAGCTACCTGGTAAACAGAAGTGTCCTGGCATTCCCTTCCACAGTCCAAACCCAAGTCCCCAATCATTATCCCCTCCCAAGTTCCCAACCAAAGCCCTCTCCTCCAGTTACCTTCCCCCATGGCCCAACTTTGCTACAGATCTAGATATATAACGGAAGTGAAGGGAAGGTTACCAATTTACAGTATAGAAAAAACAACAGTGCAGTGGGACAGGGATCCTTAAATTGATGTTGACTAGAAGGGCAAAAGCTATTCCATTCAAACAGTTAAAATGTATGTAGTAATTTTATTACTGGATATATAAACACTTCATAACCTTTAACAAATGTCGTAGGTACACCAATAACAGTTTACACTGGTTTGATAGGGTTAAATAGTATTTGCATGGTATTTGATTTCAGATACTTAATTCAACATATTAACCTAAATGATCCCTTTAAGGTGTCCTGTACCACTCCCTGAAACTTTAATTATAACTACCAGGTACATGTACACAAATTAGAAACCTGATATGGACATGACTGAGTCATTCCTGATCTTTTTGACCAGATTTCATCAATCATTTATATCAACTCCAACTATATATGTAATTCGTTATAAACATACAGATACATTTGAATGGTGAGTGCTTTCACCGACACTTTTCATATAAAAATAATCTGAATTATTCATGAAAATTGTATATACATTCAATTCATGTGTCAACGTTTAGTTTAAGTTTTGAATTCCTGAATATGTATGTAATTTCGTGACCTTAACCCTTCCCCAAGGTATATTCCCAACTACCTTAATGCATTTTGTCTTACCAATTTGATAAAGAGAAATCCCCAAAAGCTACGGTAATATATATATATATATATATGGGGCAAAGAAGTAATTCCAACAAATTCTTGACGATTTTACCATCTATATTACTTCTTTGACCCATATATATATGCCCCAAGATGGGCGAACGCGCTAGCCGATTATACTTGTCTTTGTGTTTTGTTTTATTTATATATATACATGTATATATATATAAAAGATTTTGGTTTAAACAGAATACAGTATGATGTTCTTACTATCCTTAAGACACTTTATACCAAATTAAAGGTGATTTAAGAAAATGTTGCATTCTTAAAAACCACAGAACAAGCATATTTTCTTGACTTAAGAAAGATGGCAGTTTATTTCAAATTCCAAGTAAAAAACTTGTTAATACTTATTACTGATCATGTGAGAAAGACTGATTACATGAAAAATAAACATAATAAGGGCTTTCAGTTGACAGCCAAATAAACATGTGAAAGAAATTCTGTATTATGTATGATCAAAGTAAAGTACATGGACATGTCTATTCAACTATTCAAAGCTTGAAAACAAAACAAACATAATTAAAATAACAAGTAGGTTCATGATCAACAATCTAAATTAAAAGATTCAGAACAAAATAAAATTAAAAAGAAAAGCATGTAGATTCAACTATTTATTAAAAACGTTAATACAAAACAAATAAATAAAAATAAACGAGTTTATTGATCTTTTGACCTGAATATGCAATTGAAAATACTGGTACATGCGTTGTGTGCTATTAGATCATTAAACAAAACTAAAACGAAAGGCTAAAGTAAAAATATTGCAATAATTTTTTAACTGTAACAGTGTTCATGATTTTCTGTTTGACTGAACATTCTCAGTAATGGTTTTTTTATGATTCTAATTCCAGGAAAATTAAATCCCAAACAAAAAAAGTATTGTAGTTTATTTTTTCTTTTGAATCTCATGAAGTGTACATGTTGTTGTTCAAATTTGAACCTAACACATATGTGAGTGCCCTATAGGTGTGATAAACTGATTAGACAGATTTTGCATGTGGTGGGAATAGAAGGCTGTTGTGGCATTTGTGTGAGTATGGTTAACTTAATATGTAGCTTACGATGTATGCAAAAAAACTGACAGCTGATGCTAGATCAAATTTTGTAGAAAAATACTAGTTATAAAAAACAATCAGGCTCTGGCACTTTCCTTCTTTTCTGCGGATTTTTTTCTTTTTTTCTTGATCTACAATTGTATATAAAACAATATTGTATGTCAATTTTTCCTGACATGAGATCTATAAAGTTGACAGCATAAATGAATATTTTAAATAATTAATGATGAAAAATCTGCATCAATATATTAAGGATTCCAGTACTAGTAGACCATTGAGAGTTTGTTTTTGACTTTACAAACTTATTTTGGCCTGGTTTGAAAGGACATGGATTAATTTATCTAGTTGATGTACACTCAGAAATTTCTGAGAAAAGATGATATATGGCTTCTTAAATGTCAAGGGTCAACTCAGGCCCTAAATACTCTGAATCAACAAAGCAAATCAACTGGCATCCAACCAAACCAATGCTTGGAAAGAAGGGGGAAAGGGGAGGGCTTATCACCGGGCGTGGGCTTATCACTGGGCGTGGGCTTATCACTGGGCGTGGGCTTATCACCAGGCGTGGGCTTATCACCAGGCGTGGGCTTATCACTGGTAAAATACGGTAATGGAGACAGATGTCTTGGCCCTCAGGCTCAGGCTGGGGGATTATACTGTATAAATTATGCAAAACGGCTATTGCACTGGTGGTGGAAATTTTTTGATTTAATCAGGGGAAGAATTTTGCAAAAGAACACAATATATGGGTTTCCTCCGTCCCCAGGTGAAACACACACATGTAGCTATAGCCCACAGTGTTGAAAAATAGTTTAAGCACAGTGATAGAAAACAGGGCACTTTTATTATGTGACTCTGATCTAGTGACATCGTCGAAGTTACAGGGGTTGTGCACTTTTATGTGCTCTGTGAAGATATTTGATGTTGAGAGAAGAGTTATCAACGATTTGAAGATGATCTACAAAATGTATCTATGGTAGCTTAGCAACACAACTTGTTAATCACTTTACTTTCCAAGTTTATATAATCTAGATCTGTTGCCCTAATTCTTGCTCTAATTTAACGCCATCAACTTCACGAAAGTGTTGAAGTTTAAATTGTCCAGCATATTGTCCGGTACTGGGTATTGCTATATCCTTCCTTATATTTATGATTAAGTAAACTGGATAACTGTAATTATTTATAAGCTTTACACTGTAAATAATATCTTCCTGGTGCTTGTAGATATTTAGCGTATTTAGAACGCTAATTGATATAACACAAAATTTTAATTAATTAGCTGAAATTTTCATTTTCAATATATTTCAAGGTAAATATCACATGTAAAGGTATAAATGTTGACGTCAAAGCAAGGAAATAATTGAGGCGGAACAAAACCTGGTTTAAGTTTAAACATATTATTATAACTAACTGTTTCTAAAAATCTTAAAAATGACAAAAGTACGAATTAAACATATATATACACCAATCTAGTAATGATATAAAGGAATCTTGATCATTGTTTCACCAATGATAAATCAATATGTATTTAAACATCAATTTTATTTGTACATGCATGCAAGCTTTAACATCTCCATTGAGAAATTAAATGAGAATTAGATAATAACTCTTTTTAATTGGTGTAAAAAGGAGATTTTAAGTTGAGAGTCACTATTTTTTTGTTCATTGTTGATTAATTCAGTTATTTCATTGATAATCAAGATCAACAAATTTAAACATTATTAAATTATGATCAACTATAACTGATCAGGCGCCATATCCTTTGCAGTGATCATGTGTCAGTATTAAACCAGGCCATTAAATTAATTAAGAATCATGAGTAATTTGTCTGTATTTTTGTTATTTTTCACGTTTTATATATGCAGCCTATGATTGTACATGTATGTTGTAACATTAAATGTGAAATTTTTCACCCCAGAAAAATAAAATAACCAAATTTTCACCTTAAACCTTATATTTCATTGGTGAAAATAAAAGTGCTAAATTTGTTTTCCTTCCATTTTCACAGGTGGTAAGCGCACAGATGGGTTAAAGGCTGCTGACATTGTTCCCATCCTTAGGGAACGTGTGGCCTATCTCTCAGGTGAGACTTGGACTAATTAGTACCTTGGTATTGTGAACCTAAACCTATTTGTTCTCGGTTAATACCATTATCTGAGGTCCATATAACAAGGCATTTAACACATTTAATGTCTGTAGCTGCTTCATGATGTGTTAGTGGAGGATGGAGTAGGGAGGTCATACATAAACCTGTTTATGATCTCGGTAGTTTTGCTAGTGTGATAAGACTAACTCCGCGTAGACCATTACGTATACCAAACCAGCCCATATCTGTCCACTCATGCCATGTCGGGCTGACACGTCTGTATCTGTTTTACTTTAATTTCAGTTCAACAAATTTTAGAAAATTAGTGTTAATGAGTTTAATGTTTATTATAACAGTAAGGCGTCTGACTATCTACAATTATTAGCCCTCCACCACTGGGTGGCAGGTACGAGGCCAACATGGGGCAGTCTCCAGGTACTGGCCCCAGATCAGTTTTATCTGGGGTCTACAGTTCTCCTCCACCACCAGAACCTGACACGTCCTTATCAAATGACCATAGCTGTTAAAAGGACGTAAAGCAAAATCAACAAACCAAACCAATGTGAATATCGTATCACCATTTCCATATCCTACCCTGTCTCAACCCTTGCCCCATATCAGCCCTCAGGCCTCTGGGCCCTCCGGCTGATATGGAGCTCTCGGTATGGAAATCTCTAAATATCTACTCGATCTATATAACACATTCACCCCTGAAATTTCATAATGAACTATTCCAACCATTGAATTGGACAAGCTCAAATGTGTCTTTAGGGGTGAATGTGTTAAGTGCACAGAAGGATGCAACTGAGGAATAAGGACAATAGGTGTACCTTATAAGCTATGTTATTTTTACAGGTGGTCGTGACAGACGATTTGGAGCCATACTTACCTTTCCATCTCGGACACATCCGGAGCGGTTGGACAATGATGACCTTCGCAAGCTGATGACCTATCTAGCTAGTGTTCCCAGGTATGTACAAAAGATAGAAGTGAACTGTTAATGATGCTGACTTTGTTTGTTGTAAATATTGATAAAACCCATTCCTGATGTGAGGTCTGTTGGTCTAGCTTGCAAGAGTTTCTGGTCCTATACTGCCATTTAACCAGACTCTTGAGGGGATGTGACCCCAGTTCATTTAATAATAATAATTTGAGGTTCTTATTCTCAAAGCAGTTCACAAACTATTATCCGTGGTTATAGGGCCTTTACAACCAGCCAATATCTTTCTCAACTCCCTGGGAAGCATACAGCCTGAGCTGTGTGTTCTCAAAAAGTTGCAGAGTCCCACAAGGAATCGTGTGTCTAGGACTCAAATATCTGAGTCCCAAAAATCACTGACATTGCCATTTTGGTTGTGGAAGGTTTCTGAATATCTGAACCAACTGGACTTCCGAAAAAAAGAAAATGCAGAATGTAAAACTTCCAGAATCTTATGATGAGAATGTTTGAGGAAGTGGGGTTATCACAGGAGAAGTTGACACCCTTGTGATGTCAGATACGGTATTCGGTCAGCGTAACAGATAGAATATCAGGTAAATTACACCTGATTACATAATATTGTAAGATGTAAAGAGTTTAGTTTATGTTTACTCATTCACCCCTTAAGACACATTTGAACTCTTCTAATCAAAAGGTTGGAATAGTTCATTATAAGATTTCAGGGGTGAATGAGTTAAGATAACTTTTAGGTCTTCATTTGTTACTTGATTTGCTTGTTGTTCCAGTGATGATGTGAGGGAAAAAGGATTTACGGTGATATTAGACATGAGGGGCTCCACCTGGCAGACGGTCAAACCAATCCTTAAAGTTTTACAGGTAGGTTAACTTTATCCCCAAGGTGTTACATGTAGACTGACCATACCTGTATTATACATGTAGACTGATATTAGACATGAGGGGCTCCACCTGGCAGACGGTCAAACCAATCCTTAAAGTTTTACAGGTAGGTTAACTTTATCCCCAAGGTGTTACATGTAGACCGTCCTTAGACTGACCATACCTGGAGTAGACCTGTAGACTGACCATACCTGTAGTATACTTGTAGACTGACCATACCTGTAGTATACCTGTAGACTGACCATACCTGTAGACTGACCATACCTGTAGTATACCCATAGACTGACCATATCTGTAGTATACATGTAGACTGACCATACCTGTAGATTGACCACATCTGTCGACTGATCATACCTGTATTTTTCCTGTAGACTGACCATACCTGTATAGTATACCTGTATACTGATCACACCTGTAGACTGACCAATTTTAGCTAACCTCGCATGAAGTTCCTGTGAGCTTATAATCTGGTGTGTTGTTCGTTGTTCGTCTGTTGTCATCTGTTTGTCAATTTTCTTTGAACGACTTTTCCTTATTAACTGGTGGACCTAGGGCCTGATACTTTGTCTGAAGGTACCTGGCATGGAGTGCACAAATTAGTGACCTTGACTTCTTATGAATAATCAAGAGGACCAGAGTGATGATATGGCCAGTAGGTACCTGGGATGTAGTGCTACAAAGTTTCCTCAAATGGATGACCTTGATCTACATAAAAGGTTTTGTTACAAGGATCAAATTTATTTAAAACCTTTAAACAACTTCTTTTGAAAAAAACTAAGACACATGCTCAAATAAATGGCCCCATCCTTCTTCAAGGTCACAGGCGTCGAATATGTAAAACCCTTTAAACAACTAGTACTCCTCTGCATAGCCAGGAGACACAAGGAGAGGATATTTGAACAGTAGCATGCTGGGATAGAGTAGTATAGAATTTCCTCAATTAATCACCTTGACCTACTTTTAAAGTCACAGAAGTCAAACCAGTAACCTGATTAGTCATTCAGTTTTTAGCTCAACTGGTCCGAAGGAAAGCTTATGCCATACCGCAGCGACCATCGTCTGTCTGTCCATCAACTTTTCCTTTAAAACACTACTAGAAATGAATGACTGAGCAGATCTTGACAAAATTTGGTCAGAAGCATCCTTTGGAGAAGGGGAACAAATTTTGTATAAATGGTGGGTCTGACCCCCCGGGGGCTGAGGGGCGGGGCCCAATAGGGGAAATACAGCAAATTCCTTAAAATCCTTCTCCTTCTGTAGGAATGAAAGGATTTGTTCAATATTTGGTCAGAAGCAACCTTGGGGGAAGGGAGACAAATTTTGTATAAATGGTTGGTCTGGCCCCCCCCCCCCCGGGGGGCCTGAGGGGCGGGGCCCAATAGGGGAAATATAGCAAATTCTTTAAAGTCCTTCTTCTTCGGTAGGAATGAAAGGATTTGGTCCATATTTGGTCTGAAGCATCCTTGGGTAAAGGGGAAGCAATTTTGTATAAACCCCACCCCCATAGCGGTGGGGCTCTGTTTGAAGTTTGTTCTCGCTATATCTCAAGTACTGGATGGATCTTTCTGAAATTTCATATGTACTTACAGCATCTACCATGGAGTGCTATATCTTTACTTCATACCAATTATTTTAAACATATTCAGGTCAGCGATACAGGCCCTCTGGGCCTCTTGTTTTCTGTACTAATAAGTTTGTATATATTAAGCAAACCAAGCATGCAAAACCTACCTAATCCATACATATATAGGAGGCTTGGGTTTGATTTACTGGACAAACCCTACCTAATCCATACAGATATAGGAGGCTTGGGTTTGACTTACTGGACAAACCCTACCTAATCCATACAGATATAGAAGGCTTGGGTTTGACTTGCTAAACAAAACCTACCTGATCAATACAGATATAGGAGACTTGGGTTTGACTTACTGGACAAAACCTACCTAATCCATACAGATGTAGGAGGCTTGGGTTTGATTTACTGGACAAACCCTACATAATCCATACAGATATAGGATGCTTGGGATTGACTTACTAGACAAAAGCTACCTAATCCATACAGATACAGGAGGCTTGGGTTTGATTTACTGGACAAACCCTACATAATCCATACAGATATATATAGGCGGCTTGGGTTTGACTTACTGAACAAACCATACCTAATCCATACAGATGTAGGAGGCTTGGGTTTGACCTACTGGACAAACCCTACATAATCCATACAGATATATGAGGCTTGGGTTTGACTTCCTGGACAAACCCTACCTAACCCATACAGATATATATAGGCGGCTTGGGTTTGACTTAATGGACAAAACCTACCTTATCCATACAGATATAGGAAGCTTGGGTTTGACTTACCGGACAAAACCTACCTTATCCATCCAGACAGATATAGGAGGCTTAGATTTGACTTACTGGACAAGCCCTTCCTAATCCATACAGATATAGAAGGATTGGGTTTGACTTACTGGATAAAACCTACTTAATCAATACAGATATAGGAGACTTGGGGTTGACTTACTGGATAAAACCTACCTAATCAATTCAGATATAGGAGACTTGGGATTGACTTACTAGACAAACCCTACCTAAGCCATACAGATATAGAAGGCTTGGGTTTGACTTACCGGACAAAACCTACCTTATCCATACAGATATATATAGGAGGCTTGGGTTTAACTTACTGGACAAAACCTACCTTATCCATACAGATATATATAGGAGGCTTGGGTTTGACTTACTGGATAAAACCTACCTAATCAATACAGATATAGGAGGCTTGGGTTTGACTTACTGGACAAAACCTACCTAATCAATACAGATATAGGAGGCTTGGGTTTAACTTACTGGACAAAACCTACCTTATCCATACAGATAGATATAGGAGGCTTGGGTTTAACTTACTGGACAAAACCTACCTAATCCATACAGATGTAGGAGGCTTGGGTTTGCCTTACTGGACAAAACCTACCTAATCTATACAGATATATATAGGAGGCTTGGATTTGACTTACTGGACAAAACCTCCCTAATCCATACAGATATAGGGGGCTTGGGTTTGACTTACTGGACAAAACCTACCTAATCCATACAGATATCTGAGGCTTGGGTTTGACTTACTAGACAAAAAATCTTCCTAATTTGAAATGTAAAGCTTATGGCATGGTGCGGTGTCCGTCATCCGGCCGGCCGGCGTCCGGCGTCAACTTTTTACTTTAAACAACTTCTTCTTAGTAACCAAAAGACCTAGGATGATCATATATTTGGCCAGAAGCATGCTGGGATGAAGGGCTACCAAGTTTGTTCAAATAAATGACCTTCATCCATTTTCAAGGTCACATAAGTCAAATATGTTAAAATCTTTAAACATCTTCTTTTGAATAACCAAGGGGCCTAGGGTGATGATATTTGGTCAGTAACATGCTGGGATAAAGGGCTACTAAGTTTGTTTAAATAAATGACCTTCATCCATATTCAAGGTCACAGTGGTCAATATATGTTTAAATCTTTAAATGATTTGTTCTGTATAACCAAAAAGTCCAGGGTAATGATATTTTGCTAAAAGCATGCTGGGTTGGAAGACTAAACATTCTGTTCAACCTAATGTCCTTGCTTGTCATTCAAGGTCACGGGTGTCATATGTTTAAATATTTTAATAGGTTCTTATTAATCAAACTCTGATATTCTGCCTGAAGTTGTATTTTAGTCCACATTTAAGATAACAAGTGTGAAATTAATACCAGGTGAGTGATTCAGGCCCATTAGGCCTCTTGTTTACAGATGTATTTAACAAAATAAAACCGTCTCATAAAATTCTTATCAAAAAGGAGACATTTGACTTGGGTCTTACTTGGACAGTTTTCAATGTTAGTTTCACTGTTATCAAGACAAATATGAAATTACGAACGTCACTTGTGAAAATTGCTACTTGAACATCTAAAAAATCTTTTTTACGATATTTGAGTTGGGACTGGATGTGATCTAGGTACCATGTGGTTCCAAACACCAGAATGAAGTTAGACGTCAAAATGGCGGTATTTATTGCAAAAATTAAATCCGAATGTGTGTGCCTTCTTAGATATTCTATTTGATTTCCCAACTCAGTTAGTAGTAATCCATTGATTTCTGTAGCTAGAAAACTGTCGCTTCACCCGGCAACAGACAACAAATAAACTGTTAAGGAATATGTATCACTCAAAAAATCCAGTTATGTAACAGCTAATTTGATTGGTGTGTATAATGGGTAACTTCGTTATTAGTGGTTGTTCTATGTGTGGCACTGCTTATTGATTTTTTTGTCCATTTGTAGAAGCTTTCACATAGCGCTTTGATGCTATGATTGTAATATTAACTACAATATGGGCTAATGGAATCCTCGAAAACATATATGGTCAGTTATTATATCATGGTAAAAAAATTGGTGTGTGTTTGTTATGCTGGTAAATGTTACTATTACTAGATTGTCCATTTGTTTGTCTGTCCATCTGTCTATAGATTGTCCATTTGTTTGTCTGTCCATCTGTCTATAGATTGTCCATTTGTTTGTCTGTCCATCTGTCTATAGATTGTCCATTTGTTTGTCTGTCCATCTGTCTATAGATTGTACATTTGTTTGTCTGTCCATCTGTCTATAGATTGTCCATTTGTTTGTCTGTCCATCTGTCTATAGATTGTACATTTGTTTGTTTGTCCATCTGTCTATAGATTGTACATTTGTTTGTCTGTCCATCTGTCTATAGATTGTACATTTGTTTGTTTGTCCATCTGTCTATAGATTGTCCATTTGTTTGTCTGTCCATCTGTCTATAGATTGTACATTTGTTTGTTTGTCCATCTGTCTATAGATTGTCCATTTGTTTGTCTGTCCATCTCAATTTATCTTTCCCTTTTTTTTATGTAATCAAAATAACTCCAAAAGGCATTACTTTGATTAAGATGTGTGATCATTACCCATGCTCTGCAGTAACTAGATCATTTGAGCAAGGATGTAGATTTTGAGTTTGTATGAGTTTGGACTTTCATTAGGAAGTTTTAAGGCCTAGGGAGATTGGTAAATTTTTCTCAAAATGAGGGAGTCTCCTTATGAGGGATAAATATATATATAAGGGCCCGCGGTGGCCAAGTGGTTAAGGCATCTGACATTCTGCTACCACTAGCCCCCCACCACTGGGTATATATTTTGTGTACCTGGTATGCATTGTCCTTATCTGTATCAAATACTGAAGAAGTTATTAGCTCACCTGGCACAACTTTAAATGGCCAAGCAAGCTTTTGCAGTTGTAGGGAATCTTCCATCTGCCGATTTGGTATCAATCAACTGTTTTTTACCCACAAATCGACCAATGTCGTGGGCAATATTCATTTTGTGCGTTCGTGTGTGTCCTTCCTTTGCTGCCCATAGTTTCTGGAGAATGTCACAGACACTGTTTCATGGCATGGATGAACATGAAACTTGGGATATAGGTGCATCATGGGAAGGTTGTGTGTTGCATTGTAAAACACGGGTCACTGTGAACTCAATTTGAACTCTGACTTCGACCTTGACCTCATAGGAAGATGGTCCATTCATTACACTGCAGCTGAGATGTGCTACAGAAACCATAATTTCAGCTCTTAAGACCAAGGTCATAGGTCAATGCATTGTCTAAAGAGCTTAAATAAAGGTTTCCGAAGCACATCTCAGCCACTGTGTATAGGTACATCACTGAAAGGCAGTTTGTCACACCCTAGATTGTCACTGTGACCTCACTTTGACCTATGACCTTGACCACAGGAGCTAAAAGACAGCGTAATATATATATAGGTTTCTGCACATTATTTCAGCCACTGTTTCATGAATTGGCCACATACTTTATAGACATGGGGGAGTGGCATCTGTGACGCCCATGCTTCAAGTTAAATCTAGTTTCAAATGACTTCCTCTCCAGACACATGGGACCTGGGGCTATGATATTCAGCTAGAATTTTTCTGGAATAAAGCTGAATTGAGTTTGCATAAACATGACCTTGACATATTTTTAAGATCAAATATATAAAAAAAAACATACGCATCTTCTTCTGGAGATTTTTTTTTTTTCAAGAGCCTTAATATTTCACCAGCAGCTTAACAATATGGAATGGTAAATAATTTTTGCTAATAAAAATATATACATGTATATGACTTTGTCTGTTTCAGGAATGTTTTCCGGGAAGTGTTCACATAGCCTATATAATCAAACCAGAGAAATTTTGGGAAAAACAAAGAACCAGCCTTGGCAGTGCCAAATACAACTTTGAGGTTAGTGAAAAGGAAAGCATTATTTGTATGAAGCAAAGGATTTGATGTCAACAAGGTTTTGTTACAGTCATGTCAAAAATTTCAAAGTGTATCATCAGTAGCTGAAATTACAGCAAAATTATATTCATTGACCAAACATAAAATATCTATTAGAAAGAGAAAATAATGGCAGTGGTGAAAGAAGAGAAATGATCATAAAAGTAATGATTAAACTTGGACACAGCAATCTATAGCATGGACTTATACTTTCCTTATAAAGCTGGTCAGATACATGTACATTACAACCCAACTATAAATTTGCTAAATTTTCCGTAAAATAAGTACTTTTATTGATTTGTAAGTCTGTGTTCTGACACGCCTCTTTTCATTTCCCTATCTATGTTCATCAAAGGTGAAATAGGGTTAAGACATGAAACAGATATAATTTTTCTCACGTATTATTAAAAGTAACACTTTTTTTTGTGTTTTTCAGACGAGTATGATATCGCTGGACAACCTGTCTAAGTTTATTGACCCTTCACAACTGACCAGAGAATTTGATGGACACCTGGACTACAACCATGAACAGTGGATACAGCTAAGATTGGTCAGTGCTTCACTTCCCACACGTAGTGCTGATCCGGTGAATCAAATAAAACAATGATAAGTTGTTTCAACCCTGACTGACAGATCAAGTCGTTCCTACCCTGACTGTGACAGATCAAGTCGTTTTGACCCTGACTGTGACAGATCAAGTCTTTCCTACCCTGACTGTGACAGATCAAGTCGTTTCTACCCTGACTGACAGATCAAGTTGTTCCCTACCCTTACTGTGAGAGATCAAGTTGTTTCTCCCCTGACTGTGACAGATCAAGTCGTTTTGACCTTGACTGTGACAGATCAAGTCTTTCCTCCCCTGCCTGTGACAGATCAAGTCGTTCCTACCCTGCCTGTGACAGATCAAGTCGTTCCTACCCTGACTGACAGATAAAGTCGTTCCTAACCTGACTGTGACAGATCAAGTCGTTTTGACCTTGACTGTGACAGATCAAGTCTTTCCTCCCCTGACTGTGACAGATCAAGTTGTTCCCTACCCTCACTGTGAGAGATCAAGTTGTTTCTACCCTGACTGTGACAGATCAAGTCGTTCCTACTCTGACTGACAGATCAAGTTGTTCCCTACCCTTACTGTGAGAGATCAAGTTGTTTCTACCCTGACTGTAAGAGATCAAGTCTTTTCTACCCTGACTGTGACAGATCAAGTTGTTTCTACCCTGACTGTGACAGATCTAGTCGTTCCTACTCTGACTGACAGATCAAGATGTTCCCTACCCTTACTGTGAGAGATCAAGTTGTTTCGACCCTGACTGTAAGAGATCAAGTCTTTTCTCCCCTGACTGTGACAGATCAAGTTGTTCCCTTCCCTCACTGTGACATATCAAGTTGTTCCCTACCCTCTCTGTGACAGATCAAGTTGTTTCTACCCTGACTGTGACAGATCAAGTCGTTCCTACCCTGACTGAGAAATCAAGTCGATCCTACCCTGACTGTGACAGATCAAGTCGTTCCTACCCTGACTGTGACAGATCAAGTCGTTTCTACCCTGACTGACAGATCAAGTTGTTCCCTACCCTCACTGTGACAGATCAAGTTGTTTCTACCCTCACTGTGACAGATCAAGTTGTTTCTTCCCTGACTGTGACAGATCAAGTCGTTTCTACCCTGACTGTGACAGATCAAGTCGTTCCTACCCTGACTGACAGATCAAGTTGTTCCCTACCCTGACTGACAGATCAAGTTGTTCCCTACCCTCACTGTGATAGATCAAGTTGTTTCTACCCTGACTGTGACAGATCAAGTCGTTCCTTCCCGGACTGTGACGGATCAAGTCGTTCCTACCCTGCCTGACAGATCAAGTCGTTCCTACCCTGACTGACAGATCAAGTCGTTTCTACCCTGGCTGTGACAGATCAAGTCGTTTCTACCCTGACTGTGACAGATCAAGTCGTTCCTACCCGGACTGTGACAGATCAAGTCGTTCCTACCTTGACTGTGACAGATCAATCATAATTTTCAGAGATCTGTTTGACTATCACATGAAAACTTTCAAAAGTTATTGGAAATTGTAGCAGACCTGAAAACTGGATAACCAAACAGTTTTACTGGTAACTTTTATCATAAACTGCATTCAAACAATATTTTTTTCTAGGAATTCAAAAAGTATTCATCACATTTTCACCACTTTGGTGAATGCTTCTCTGTTTTCATGGAATGAAATGAATTTTGCTATATTGTAAAGATGAAGTGTAATAAAGAGAAAAGAAGACGAAAAATGGAATAAACATAAAATAGAAACGAAGAATCGGTAGAAAAATATGTAAAGCAGACAATTTTTGTTACAGATGCTGGAGGAATTTATTTGGAAAGCTCTCGACCTTCTGGACAAACTGGATGACCTTGGAAATATCTTGACCAATCCTGAGTTACCGGAGGACCTGAATGGTGCCCAATATCGCCTTGAGGAGCATAACCACTTAAAACGGCGTGTGACTATGGCACCTGTGGAACAGCTCGGCATGGAGGGGCGGCGTATCCTACAGGAAATCCTTGGTGACGGACAGATGTCAGGTAAATGTTGCTCGTCGATAAAAAGAAATGNCTGGGGATGGGGATAGGGGTGGTAATAAGATTGGGATGGGGGAAGGGTTTGGGGTAGGGATGGGGTGGGCTGGGGATGGGGATAGGGGTGGTAATAAGATTGGGATGGGGGAAGGGTTTGGGGTAGGGATGGGGTGGGCTGGGGATGGGGATAGGGGTGGTAATAAGATTGGGATGGGGGAAGGGTTTGGGGTAGGGATGGGGTGGGCTGGGGATGGGGATAGGGGTGGTAATAAGATTGGGATGGGGGAAGGGTTTGGGGTAGGGATGGGGTGGGCTGGGGATGGGGATAGGGGTGGTAATAAGATTGGGATGGGGGAAGGGTTTGGGGTAGGGATGGGGTGGGCTGGGGATGGGGATAGGGGTGGTAATAAGATTGGGATGGGGGAAGGGTTTGGGGTAGGGATGGGGTGGGCTGGGGATGGGGATAGGGGTGGTAATAAGATTGGGATGGGGGAAGGGTTTGGGGTAGGGATGGGGTGGGCTGGGGATGGGGATAGGGGTGGTAATAAGATTGGGATGGGGGAAGGGTTTGGGGTAGGGATGGGGTGGGCTGGGGATGGGGATAGGGGTGGTAATAAGATTGGGATGGGGGAAGGGTTTGGGGTAGGGATGGGGTGGGCTGGGGATGGGGATAGGGGTGGTAATAAGTTGGGGATGGGGGAAGGGTTTGGGGTAGGGATGGGGTGGGCTGGGGATGGGGATAGGGGGGGTAATAAGATTGGGATGGGGGAGGGGTTTGGGGTGGGCTGGGGAATCTGTTGTATTGCAGTTGTATTTTGCTTTACACTCCTAGATAAATAGAAAATATACTGTTCCACAGCAAAAATAGAAAATACACTGCTCCACACCAAAAATAGTAAATATACTGCTCCACAGCAAAAATAGTAAATATACTGCTCCACAGAAAAAGTAGTAAATACACTGCTCCACAGCAAAAATAGTAAATACACTGCTCCACAGCGAAAATAGTAAATATACTGCTCCACAGCGAAAATAGTAAATATACTGCTCCACAGCAAAAAGACTGAATATACTGCTCCACAGCTAAATACGAAATCAACTTCTGCTTACCCACCTTCCATTCCTTTGTCAGGTTCGGGTCGTCGCTTCGTGATTTCCGGAACTGCAGACTTTCAGAGTGCAGTTCCCCAAATTTCCCAGCTGCTGGACCGAATGCATGGGACGAAGCAACATCTCAATCAACTTTGGCAGGTTAAACGTCTCCGGCTGGAACAGTGTCTCCAACAGCGCATCTTTGAGGAAGATGTTGAAAAGGTAAAACAACAATCAAGATTGGAGCTATATCCCCTTATTCTTTAAGTATGTTTTGGATGGTGAATTTCTTAAAGTCTACCTGCTAAACACAGAACAATTTGCTTCTCAAGTGTTTCTTTTAAGGCTGTAATTTGAAAGTACTTTCAATTACTCTGATATCTTCAATAAGATTCATCGGTTTCAAAAGATGTAATTTATGTTATTTATTCATATGAAATTTACTATTTGGCACATCGTTGTACAGGAAAACAATACAAATCGCTCACTCAGTCATAGCTTGACAAAGGGACCAGTCAGTCTGGAAACGTTGTGACATGTTTAATATGTACATTGTTTAAATTTGTGTATAAATTAAAACTTTGATATTTCATTTACCCACACTTCCCTTAGCATGTTTACGATAGCATCAGAGATGGAAAGCCAGTAACACATGTATGAAACATGGTCATTGATGCAGGATTCAATAGAGATTTTAACTAAAAACTTTTGTTTGCAACAAGTAAAGTATTGCGGCAGACAATGTTTTTACAACTTCATTTAAATGACAGAAAATTCCCATGATTAACGTAGATGATTTGAAAGAATAAATTGGTATGAGATAAATTTTGTCAAAAGCTAATTTTTAGAAAAAATATGTAAAAAAGATTTAAATATAAGATAATTCAGAGATAACATTTTTCTGTGTTCTGTAGAAAGGAATAAAGAAGATTTAAAAACTGTGACCATGATCCTTGGAAATTCCTAATACTGTCTGCCAAATTTTAATGTGACCATTTCAACATGTTCTCTGAAATAATATTCTACACTGATTTCTCAAGCGAATAAAATATGAAAAATATGTACATTTGTATGGGAGAGTACTTTTGTAATTTCCCTGATGTAACAAGGAAAGGTGTGGTGGGGTTACCTGCCCAAACATGTTGGTTTTCTTCGGGTTTTCTTCGGGTACTCTGGTATCCTCCCACGTTAAGACCTCCTGCACACTAACATCCAATTTAACAAGAGTGATAAATACAAGTTAATAAATTTGTTTCATAATTAATGTAAAAGAAATAAAGACTAATTTACAGTTTGGAACATTTTGAGAGAATTTGTCACTCTCCGCTGCTGTGCCTCAGTTGAAATTTGTTAAAATCATTTGAAAATCCACCAGCTCAGTAATCCATAAATGAAGCTTTAGGGTAACATTCATAAATGTTTTTTTGTTGTTTTTGCTTCAGATGTTTGAGTGGATCTCCCACAACAAGGAGTTGTTCCTCGTCAACTACACCGAGATCGGCACGTCCCATCAGATGGCCGTGGAGCTGGAGACGGAACACAGCCAGTTTGCCAACAGTGCTGTGGTAATATAAACCCTACAAACTAAGTCTGTTACTGATTGGCATGCTTTGTGTAGAGATTGAATATAAAATGTTCCAGTCTTTCCAGGGTATGGTATCTTTGTGCAATAAAATATGTTTAAACTAACAGGGTATGGAAAAAATGATTGAAAAAAATTAATTTCAGCAATAAAAACGAACAGCTTTTGCTGTGACCACTCCGTGTAGTGTGGAAATAATTTCTCCCATTCATTCCGCATGAATACGAGAACATTTCATCTTCATTCCATCTTATTATAACATAATATATACTGGAATGGTGTTTTAAAAGAAGCATCGGGAATTTCCAAAAAATTACGGACTCGTATGAAAATTAGCACCAGTCTGGCTTTTGCCGATTGTTTTGGCACTTATCAGCCAATAAGGTTCCTTGTTAATGACATGAAAACACAATTTGCGATTGTATCAATATATACATATATATTTACATTTGCTCTGCGCATCATTCCATTGTGGTGCATTGTGAAGGCAAGTGTTGTTATGAGACTATAACAACATTTGCTATTGTAACGTCATCAATCTCTATTGTGACGTCATCAATTTCATTGTTGTCAACACTTGATTTGCTGGTCGAGAACTGTTCGAAATAACTAAATAAAGCATAACTACGTATACTCGATCAAAATGTAAATATAAATAATGAATATTTTAGCAAATATTGTTATGACCCTATAACACACATTTCTACTGCTGACAAACTTACATAAAGCCCGACATTCATTGCTTTAATATAAACAGACTTTGGGACATCTTATTGAATTGAAATTTTATAGAAATTGGGGAAGTTTCTTTGTTGGTTTTGTTCTATTTGAGAGTTTTATGAAGAATGAAGTTAAATGTAGATCTCCACATTTTCAGAACGTATATGTTAACATCACACGGATCCTGAGCATGGCACAGCGGCTATGTGACGCAGGCCACTACGCATCCAACCAGATCCGCATGCAGGCCACGAGGCTGGAGCGCGAGTGGAAAAGTCTGGCTGCGGCCCTGGACGACTACAGTGCGGTTCTCTGTATGTCCGTTACCTTCTACAAAAAGGCAGAACAGGTAAAATAAAAATAGAAAGTCATGGGTGAAGCTGAGGTTTAAATATTTGATCACTAGATGTTCTTTAACAAAGTCACAGGTGAGTCGCTGAAGCTGAGGTGTAAATATTTGATCACTAGATGTGCTTTAACAAAGCCACAGGTGAGTCGCTGCTGGTTTAGAAGTATAAGTGGTTATACAGTTCAACAAAAGTTCATGCTTTCAGCAATTTTCATGTAATTTTGTTTTCTATTTTCTGCTCCAACTTAGACTTAGATTTACAAACAAAACACTCTTTCAAAAATTTAAACAAGTAAAAAATTCTGTTGGTACCATCTTTGTTCCTATAAATATATGTTTCTCAGTTTAATGTCTGTGTACCTGTGTAATTGATTTGTCTCCCCTTTCCACAGTATCTTGCCCAAGTGGTGGGGTGGCGCCAGGCATGTGAAAACCCTGAAATCCCTTCCTTGATTGAGGAGTTGGAAACAGCCCTACAACAGCATCAAGGACTTATAGAGGCCATTAGTCAGGCCTATGCAGAGGTAGGTATGCAGTGTTGTGGCCTAAATGTATACTGCGGTAAAATGATTACACCTTAACCTATATAGAGATACATGTGCAGATTCAGGGCCTTGATTGATACAGATGTATATAGTGTTTAGGCCTATATAGAGGTTTATACAGGAATATGTTTGCAGTGTTGACATAAACAGCAGTATAATACAGTATAAGGGCCCAATCTCTTTACATAATGTTGCGTACGTTTCCAACATAAAATGGAGTATGTTTATGTCTTTTACACAAAAATATTTTGTGGCATCATCTGAATCAGTGCAGTAAAGCTTTCAAAATCAAGTCATAATCACAAAAATATATTGTCAAAGCAAATTCTTGTAATGATAGCAAATATTAATATGTGACTTTATCCAGACCTAAACAAGGAAGATAAAAGCAACATCCATTTTACCGTGAGTTGTAATGTGTTCCAGACAATAACAGAGTCAGTTATTGGTACGTAAGCATATTTTGTGTATCATTTTTATACCCCCCACTAGTGATGGGGGTTCGGGGTTGTGGTAACATGTTTATACCCCTCCCCCCACCTAGTGAGGGGGTATGTGTAACATTTTTATACCCCCCACTAGTGATGGGGGTTGGGGGTTGTGGTAACATGTTTATACCCCTCCCACCACCTAGTGAGGGGGTATGTGTAACATTTTTATACCCCCCACTAGTGATGGGGGTTCTGGGTTGTGGTAACATGTTTATACCCCTCCCACCACCTAGTTAGGGCGTATGTGTAACATTTTTATACCCCCCACTAGTGATGGGGGTTGGGTAACATGTTTATACCCCTCCCCCACCTAGTGAGGGGGTATGTGTAACATTTAATACCCCTCCCCAACCTAGTGAGGGGGTATGTGTAACATTGTTATACCCCTCCCCCCACCTTGTGAGGGGGTATGTGTAACATGTTACTACCCCTCCCCCACCTAGTGAGGGGGTATGTGTAACATGTTTATACCCCTCCCCCCGGGAACCTAGTGAGGGGGTATGTGTAACATGTTTATACCCCTCCCCCCGGGGACCTAGTGAGGGGGTATGTGTAACATTTTTAAAACACTCCCCGCGGGGACCTAGTGAGGGGGTATGTGTAACATTTTTATACCCCTCCCCCCGGGAACCTAGTGAGGGGGTATGTATAACATGTTTATACCCCTCCCCCCGGGAACCTAGTGAGGGGGTATGTGTAACATGTTTATACCCCTCCCCCCGGGAACCTAGTGAGGGGGTATGTGTAACATGTTTATACCCCTCCCCCCGGGAACCTAGTGAGGGGTTATGTGTAACATGTTTATACCCCTTGTGAGGGGAACATATATAGTAATTAGTAATCACTTTGTCAGTGTGTCCGTCCATGTGTGCGGCGTGCGTGCGTGCGTGTTTGCGTCTGTAGTAAAATGTTGGTGTACAAGATATCTAAGTAACCCTTTAACCCATTATATTCATACACCATAGCTTGGTAGTACTGAGGTCTACACCTGATAAGATTTCGGTGGGTATCGGTCAAGGTTAAAGGGTCCAAGGTCAAGGTCAAATATCATACCGTTTTTGAAGTCAAAAGTTTATGTTCAAGATACCTCATGAATCCCTGAACAAATTTAGTTTATATTTACACCATAACATGGTAGCAGTAAGTTGTACACCTGATTAGCATTTGGTGGTCATCGGTTTAGACTAGAGAGTCAAAGGTCACATAAAAAGAACACACTTGACTCCTTATGTAGTAAACGGCTTGTGTAAATTTCACATTTCACAAACTCCTCAACAGATTTTATTAGCACTATAGTAACAACGAAACACTGAGTCCTTAAAAGGGTCAAAGGTCACAGACAAAGGGGTATCCGGTAGGAGGAGGGCTATATCTATGTGAGCCTCTGTTCACTTTGTTTTTATTTTTGTTTCATGATGAGCTGAGGAGACTGAGATCTTATGGTAAGTTACTTCCCTTTATTTACAGGTATGTGGGGATGGAAAACAGTTATTGGACACACTTCAGACACCGGTGACCTCTAGTAGTATCAACAGTCTCACCGCCAAGGCAGACTACTCAGAGGCTGCTGGTCATATACTGGACGTTGTACACGAGGTTAGTGTGTGAGGTCAACAATTATTCACCTTTAATCTTGTCTAAATTGAATCCTGTCCAATCTGGAACCCAACATAAAATCTGCTCAATTTTATACATTTCTATGTTAATAAATGAACCTGTGTAATCTGTCAAGCTTTTTAATCTGAATTAATAACTCAGTCCTGCTGTGGTTTAAACAGGTTTCATTATTATATTGACTTATCTTAAAGGGGCTGGTCGGGGAAAAAATGTCATATTTGCTAAAATGGCATACACATGTTTAAAATACCTTCTTATGAAGTATACCGATTCAAATTTTGCTGAAATTCACTCCCTAAGAGTAAAAATTATAATTATATTTAAGAAATCCTAAATCGTCACCTGACATTCTAAAACTCTCAGTTGACCCAGATCAGTGATGTAATTTTACCGCATGCGCGTTATCAACAAGGCCAAATGTAAACATCGCGGCGAAAGAAAAAGATGCATGCAAAAGTCATGACAGGCACGAGGTATCAATACCGTTATATATAACAACAACATATAGGTAGGAATACTACACTTGCATCATACATGACCCTTGAAAACAATTATTTACGTATAGTGTTGCTGTCTTGTCCGCTAGTTGAGTCCGACATGGCTAATAGACGGTGTGCTATTGTTGTTATCTTCACTGCCTCACTTTCCAAACAACCACGTGACATATATAAATAGATCTGCGCTAAATTTATGCGGGGGCTTCCCCGAGATTTCAGTGGTCAAAACTGGACATTACAAGCAGAACTCGACCATCATATAGCCATGGTATAACTTTTGGAAGGCCAGAGAACGCATTTAGACCCATTTTTTTCTTTTTATTTCCCGACCAGCCCCTTTAAAATTAATTAAAATATTGGAATAGGAAGTTGAATTGTGTTTGTCTGATGAAATTTGTTTAATGGAAATAAATCTGATGACTAGTACAGTACGTACTCTGTCACGTTCATCAGATCAAAACAAAAACAATGAATGAAAAAAATCGAAGAGGAAAGAGTATATAATCCTACCAGTCATCAAATGTCACATATACCGGGTAAACACTGTGCCGGTTGTGATACATGAACCTTTCTGTGATGTACAGTATGCAGTTTTGAATACTGTTTGTTAGTTTGTATTTTACGTCCTATTAACAGGCTGCTATGGTCATAGAAGGAGATGCCTTAAAATGAATGTTGTCTGTGTGTAACTCGTTCCGATTGTTTGTTCGTGTGTAATACAGGTGTTGGCCCATCAGCGCCACCTGGAGCAGCTGTGGCACACTAAGAAGGTCAAACTTCACCAGCGACTTGGACTCCGGCTCTTCCAACAGGACGTCAAACAGGTGACAGAACAAAACCTCTGATTGGTCAAACTGAAGTGACTAGTCTTCTTCACATGTTTCCTGTCAATTACAACCAAAATATGATCTTATAAGTAGAGACATTTTCTACCTCATCAGAAATTTAAAAGCAGATCTGATTGGATAATCAACATACAGCAAATGCATCAACAATATATTCAGAATCGTAGCTGTTATTTTCTGAACATTACAGCGATGTCTAAATTACTTTAAATTTCTTTAAATGCTGTGCAGTCAAATGTAACACAAGTTTTGATTGGGTAGCTTACCACATTCCCAGAGTATCAAGATATTTGATTGGATGTTTGTGTACAGGTGATCGATTGGCTGGACAATCATGGTGACGGTTTCCTACGTAAGAACACATCCATAGGACGGAGTTTACAAAGAGCAAAAGCACTTCAGAAAAGCCACGAACACTTCGAGTCTGTAGCTCGGGTAAGTTCAATTTCCTCTAACAACTAACCTAATTCTAATTTGTTAACCCTGTGTGAATAATCAGAACATTAAAAACTATACTGTTGTTTTATAACTTAAGATACCTATATCTATATCCCTGTATCCAGTAAATACAGCCTTGTACACAGTAAATATATCCCTGTATACAGTAAATATAGCATTGGATATGTTGTAAATATATCCATGTACACAGTAAATATCGCTCTGTATACAGTAAATATAGCCATGTATACAGTAAATATAGCATTGGATATGTTGTAATTATATCCATGTACACAGTAAATATCGCTCTGTATACAGTAAATATAGCATTGGATATGTTGTAAATAAATCCATGTACACAGTAAATATAGCTCTGTATACAGTAAATATAGCCATGTATACAGTAAATATAGCATTGGGTATGTTGTAAATATAGCCCTGTATATATACAGTAAATATAGCCCATATACAGTAAATATAGCTGGTATACAGTAAATATAGCCCTGTATACATAACCTTGTATATCGTTAATATAGCCCTGAATACAGGAAATATAGCCCTGTATACAATAAATAAAGCCTTGTATACAGTAAATTTAACCCTGTGTACAATAAATATAGCTCTGTATACAGTTAATACAGCCCTGTATACATAACCATGTATACAGTAAATATAGCCCTGTATACAGTAAATATAACTCTGTATACATTAAATATAGCCCTGTATACATAACCTGGTATACAGTAAATATAGCTCTGTATACAGTAAATATTGCTCTGTATACAGTAAATATAGCCCTGTATACAGTAAATAAAGCCTTGTATACAGTAAATATAGCACTGATTACAGTATACAGTGAATATATAGGCAATACCCACATATGTTCATCTGTTTGCACAAGTGTATGGTGCATTTAAATATATATCATTAGGGTTTTGCACCCAAGCGAAATATCTTCTTTCCCACTTTGAAATTACAGACCTACATTAGTTAGGTATGTAACTTAAAAATGTGGTACCTGTATATTCCGTCTTTTCGTATTGCAGAGTTATCTTCTCTTGGGAGCAGGTATTGATTGTTACATCATTTATTTGTGAGAGGAACGTCATCAATTTTTGAGAAAACGACGTAATTTTCTCACACAAACCAATGACTTAACAATCAATACCTGCTCACAAGGGAAGATAACTCTGCAATATGCAAAGACGGAATACCCACTTGCGGTTTTCCTTTTAAAACACCGTGACAAACTCTGTTCATTGCTTTTTTTTTTATGCTTTCTAATTACTGATACAAAGAAATGCACCGATAATTTTAGTTTTCGGAACACGATAGCATACACAGACAATTGTTTGCCACTAATTTCATCAATGCAATGATCATTTTAATTTCAGAACACGATCACCAATGCAGACAAATTGCTGGCGGCAGCGGACGAGCTTGCCCAGACAGGGGAATGTGACCCAAAGGAAATTTACAGAGAAGCACAGGAGCTGGAGGAAAGGATGGGAAATTTTCTTACTGCCCTGGAGCGACGCCGTGGTACGCTAGAAATGGCGGTGTTCTTCTACACCCACGTACACGAGGTCAGTATATGGAACTTAGAAAACTTAGGTTCAATGTGGAGGCTTTATTTCCAATGGTAATCTAGTAGTAAAAACATTTTGAAGACCTCACATCTGAGTCAATGGGCCATCAGTTTTCTGTTAGAATAAAACGGAAAACAAACTCACGTACCTTAACTTTGACCTAATCATTTATAATTTTCCTATTTTTGATAAAACAATCAAATTTCATGCATCAAAATGTAAATTAAAAAATTAAAACCCAATGCCTTCTGTGTTTTGCAATTCCTGATTCATATAAAAGTTAATTTTTTGGTTTCAACAAGATGGCACTTAAAAGTGACATAATATCTGTATAAAGACTGTCTGGAGTCAGTATATTGTGGGGATAGCTAGAATGTGATGTGAATAATGATATTTCATTTTCATCAAATTCGCTTGGATTTATCAATAGACACTATATCAAAATTGTGATTTATCAAAATGTATTTTAACAAAAAGCTTTAATTGTTCGGTGTTAAATTTTTGTTATTAGTTAACATCGTGGCTCGAGGAATTACAACAGGAACTGCAGAGTTCAGAGATAGCGGACACCGTTGAAGGGGCCGAACAACTCCTAGGACAGTTTAACCAGCAAAGGGAGACAACTATTGAGGCCGCCATCAACACAGTCAGTGAGGGGGAAAATCTGCTAGAAGAAATCAGGTAATTACTCCATTTTATTGTTGGGGTATTTTAAGTAGATTAAATTTATTGAAAGATTATGTAACATGAAAATTCTCCTGTGTTAAAAATGCTTGGTCATACTTTTTTGAACCCTCGCTTCGACAAAGTCGGTTGTATAGTATCTGCTTCATGCGTGCATCCGGAATATGGTTTCCGGAGATGCTGTTTTATGAATGGGCATCAAATTTTGTACAAAGGTACACCATGTCAATTATTTACGGAGCATATCTCTGCTGCTGTTTCGATAATTCGCATGAAACTTTGTATATTATTGGAAGGCTGTGTGTCACATCCTAAAACCAGGTCACCATGACCTGAATTTGACCTTGTTCTTCATGAATTAGCATGAACATTGTGTATGGGTACATCATGGGAAGGTGGTATGTCGTATCCTAAAATGAGGTCACTGACCTTTATTTGACCTTTAACCTTGTCAAAAAGTTCATAAATACAGTGAGCAGGGTATCAATGAATCCCACACTTCGAGTTAAATTACTAGGTTAAAATCATATTGACAAATGGCAGGTTTTGAGCAGAAGACTGCAGTGGATCTTTAGTTCACAAGTAAAATTTGAAAATTCATGACCACATTTCAGAAATGGTATGCGTAGTTTTTCACACGACCTAAGTGGTATTGTTGTCTGTTACCACTATCAGGGTACAGAGGTATGGCTCTGTTACCGCTATCAGGGTGCAGTAGTATTGTTTGTCTGTTACCACTATCAGGGTACAGAGGTATAGCTCTGTTACCACTATCAGGGGACAGAGGTATGGCTCTGTTACCGCTATCAGGGTGCAGTAGTATTGTTTGTCTGTTACCACTATCAGGGTACAGAGGGATAGCTCTGTTTCCACTATCAGGGTACAGAGGAATGGCTCTGTTACCACTATCAGGGTACAGAGGTATGGCTCTGTTACCGCTATCAGGGTACAGTAGTATTGTTTGTCTGTTACCACTATCAGGGTACAGAGGTATGGCTCTGTTACCACTATCAGGGTACAGAGGAATGGCTCTGTTACCACTATCAGGGTACAGAGGCATGGCTCTGTTACCACTATCAGGGTACAGGGGTATGGCTCTGTTACCACTATCAGGGTACAGAGGTATGCCTCTGTTACCACTATCAGAGTACAGAGGTATAGCTCTGTTACCACTATCAGGGTACAGAGGGATGGCTCTGTTACCACTATCAGGGTACAGATGTATGGCTCTGTTACCACTATCAGGGTACCAAAGTATGGCTCTATATATATATATATATTGGGAAACCAGGTTTGAAAATGTGTATCTGGGTAATCACCTGGAACGACACATATTTTAATATCCGTGCCATCAACCCAGGCATGCCACAACCAACACCTGCCTATTTGGCATATCTATATTCGGAATCTAGGTGTGGTATAAATGACAGTTAAATGTAACTCAGTGTGATTTTTTCCAAATTTTGTCATGATTTTGACGGAAATTTTCTTTGCAACAAAAAAACATTTTTTTTTTTTTTATTCTTGAGTTTTACCGCGTTCCTGGGGGTTGGAGGGATGAATGTGGCACTCATGTGATATACAGACAGAAATCTCCACCCCTCATGCAAACCCTCGTGCAAACCCTCATGCCAAAATTCAAAAGTCTTTTTACGGGGGTAGACATCCTCTATACATCATCCCACAGGAGTGATTGATTTTTTCTCTCTCTAATTTTCCTGCCGTTAAAAAAAACATGTTGTTACACTACACCAGTATCAAGAGCTCATAAAATGTGTGACAAATCTGGTGACGCCACGTATACCCTAGTGATACTGCAAAAAAGGATGATATGATTGTGAGGTGTTGAGCCATCATTTCCCTAACAAAAACGGAAATCCACCCGTGAAGTGTGGGAGAAAAAGCAGATGCGTAGGATTGATGTCAGTCTGGCTAGCCGTTAACACGATTGCTCAGTTTCCAATTAGATGTTAGCATTTTGCTATTACTGCCACTCTGTGAGCTTCGTACTGATTCACGTAATTCACCTCAGAAACCTACGCTTTATTTTCGTTCAGAGATGTGATGATACGACTTTAGAAAGACTAGTCTTATGCTTTATCTATTTTATGTGAATAAAAGAAATTATATTGGTTTGAGTAATATTTTCTGTTGTTTGATTTCTTTGATTGTGTAAAAGATGTGCATTGATAACCTAGCTAGCCTTAAGCTTACAAGCATCAGCTGTAGGGAATTTCCTAAACTGGTGCTGTTGACCCTTCCCATTCAAGGTAGGAGACCCCTTAATGGGGAGTCAAAGAACCTGGGTTGGTGTTTGAAAAAGGAGGGAAAAGTGTAAAAGATATGCATTGATTAGGTTGAAGGGAATTTCCCTTTAGCTCAGCGGTAGAGCATCGGGATGAAGAGCCAAGGGTCGCGGGTTCGAGCTCCAGCGACAGCACTACCTTTATCACTATATTCCTCGTCCTATTACAATTTTAACTAAAGTTTACTGGTACTGGTACCGGTGTGACAGTTGGTACTGGTGTGACAGTTGGTACTGGTGTGACAGTTGGTACTGGTAACACAGTCGGTACAGGTGTCACAGTTGATACTGGTGTCACAGTTGGTACAGGTGTCACAGTTGGTACTGGTGTCACAGTCGGTACTGGTGTCACAGTCGGTACTGGTGTCACTGTCGGTACAGGTGCCACAGTAGGTACAGGTGCCACAGTAGGTACAGGTGCCACAGTCGTCACTGGTGTCACAGTCGGTACAGGTGTCACAGTCGGTACAGGTGTCACAGTCGGCACTGGGGTCACAGTCGGCACTGGGGTCACAGTCGGCACTGGAGTCACTGTTGATACAGGTGACCCAGTCGGCACTGGTGTCGCAGTCGGCACTGGTGTCGCTGTTGATACAGGGGCCACAGTCGGCACTGGTGTCTCTGTTGATACAGGTGACCCAGTCGGCACTGGTGTCGCAGTCGGCACTGGTGTCGCAGTCGGCACTGGTGTCGCTGTTGATACAGGTGCCAAAGTTGGTACTGGTGTCACGGTTGGTACAGGTGCCACATTTGGTACAGGTGTCACAGATGGTACTGGTGCCACAGTTGTTACAGGTGTCACAGTTCGTACTGGTGTCGCAGTTGGTACAGGTGCCCCAGTTGGTACTGGTGTCGCTGTTGATACAGGTGCCACAGTTCGTACAGGTGCCACAGTTGGGACAGGTGTCACAGTTGGTCCTGGTGTCACAGTCGGCAGGGGTGTCACTGTTGATACGGGTGCCACAGTTGGTACTTATGTCACAGTCGGCACTGGTGTCTCTGTTGATACAGGTGACCCAGTCGGCACTGGTGTCGCAGTCGGCACTGGTGTCTCTGTTGATACAGGTGACACAGTCGGCAATGGTGTCACTGTTGATACAGGTGCCACAGTTGGTACAGGTGTCACAGTTGGTACTGGTGTCACAGTTGGTACAGGTGCCACAGTTGGTACTGATGTCACAGTCGGCACTGGTGTCACTGTTGATACAGGTGACACAGTTGATACAGGTGCCACAGTCGGCACTGGTGTCACAGTCGGCACTGGTGTCACTGTTGATACAGGTGCCACAGTTGGTACAGGTGCCACAGTTGGTACAGGTGCCACAGTTGGTACAGGTGCCACAGTTGGTACTGGTGTCACAGTTGGTACTGGTGTCACTGTTGATACAGGTGCCACAGTTGGTACTGGTGTCACTGTTGGTACAGGTGCCACAGTTGGTACAGGTGCCACAGTTGGTACTGGTGTCACAGTTGGTACAGGTGCCACAGTCGGCACTGGTGTCACAGTCGGTACAGGTGTCACAGTCAGCACTGGTGTCACTGTTGATACAGGTGCCACAGTTGATACAGGTGACACAGTCGGCAATGGTGTCACAGTCGGCACTGGTGCCACAGTCAGCACTGGTGTCACTGTTGATACAGGTGCCACAGTTGATACAGGTGCCACAGTTGGTACTGGTGTCACAGTCGGCACTGGTGCCACAGTCAGCACTGGTGTCACTGTTGATACAGGTGCCACAGTTGGTACTGGTGTCACAGTCGGCACTGGTGTCACTGTTGATACCGGTGACACAGTCGACACTGGTGTCACTGTTGATACAGGTGCCACAGTAATAAAGGAGACTGTGATAACGAATCTATGTATGCTTTACTTCTGGTTTGGTATGGCCAGTAATTCACTATTATGTTTAACAATAAATTTAACTTAACTTGCAAAGGTTTACAAGGGTAGGGAAAACCTATTGTCCTCTTTTCAAGGCAAAGTAAAGCATTTCCAGAACAAAAAAACTCATTGTTTGGTGATTAGAAATTTTGTTGGGGCTTTAAGTTTTAAACATTATACAAAAACCAATAAACAATAATATAAATATGTGCAGTTATGTCTTATCATCTTTAAACAATGCTGATATAATAATTATTGGTATTCAAGGGGGGATAACTCCACCAGTGCTAACACAATTGCTGGTGTGTGGAGTCAGTGATCATGATACCGTGTGTACGAGGACACTGAACGGCAGAGCAATGAGGTGTCAAAGAGTGCAAAACCTTTAAAAAAACATCTCCTCTGAAATATATGGGTGGTTTTGAACCAATATCCCATAACCTGATCCTTAGATGATGAGGATCAGAATTTGTAAGGAGGAGATGACATGAGCGTCACTGGTCACTTGGATCATAGTCCAGCACATTGTTTTCCCATTCTTTAAAGGATGTGCTTGATGATAGGAAGGTTTGTACTTGGGATGGAATGGGTCAATAAATGTATTTGTTAAGCTTTTACGTCAGGTTTCAGTACTGTATATTGTTAAACAGCTGGAAAGTTTTGAATTCAGAATTTTCGTTGAATTATGATATATTTTCACACATGAATGGAATTGAAATTGAGTGATGTATGATTAACCTACAGGAGGCTAAAGGGTCAGGTAAAATTAAGGCAATTTCGGCCATAAGGAAGGTATTAAGCCTTTGGGTC